CCTGGCGTGGGCTCCTCCCAGCCCCTCCGATGAAGATGTTTAAAGAAGGACGCCCGATGCTTTGGCTTGCTTGGGTCACGGAAGATGAAGAGGAATTAACTGTCTTGCTCCACATATAAAATATACAATGTAGTTAATGGGTGGGGTACGGTCAAAAACCACAGTGGATATTTAATTTCTTACAGCTTACTACAATAAAAGGCACATGATGGCGAATCGCCCTCAAAATACCCTCACTTTGAGCACACTCAGCCCATCACGCGTCCCCCTGTCGGAAACAGCTCTGCAAGTCCTCTTTCGTGAGTTCTTTAGTTCTGCACTGTCACGGCTGCCTGGATGTCCTGAATCAATCCAACATGTTTCCCTTTCGTGGTCCCTTGACGCTGAGGAAGAGCCGGAAGTCGCCCAGTGCCAGAGCTGGTGAAGAAGGTGGGTGAGGACATGGGCATGTTTTACCAGCCTGCTCTTCTGCTGGATGGCCCTCGGCGGCAGCATTCATCATATTTCTGATCACATCCCGTAAAGACACTCACGAAAGAGGACTTCCAGAACTGCTTCCGAAACTCCTGACAACGATGGGATGAGTGTGTTCAAAGTGAGAGGGGGAGGGTTTTGAGGGGGGCTAATGGCATTGTATCTTTTGCTGTAACAAATTTTTAAAATGTAAACATTCACTGTATGTTTTGATCATATCTCATAAGTAACAAAACTTGTGGGTTTTGCGGGGAAACAGTGTTGAGACAGAGTCTCACTATGTAGTTCAGGCTGGCCTTGAACTAGGGGCAATCCTCCTGCTTCAGCCCCCGAGCACTGGGATTACAGGCGTGTCCCACCATGCCCAGCCAAAACTTGTTTTTATATATTTTAATTTAAGCTGTTCTGACTTCAGCTTTAATCATTTAACAAGAAAACTCACAAGTCTGCTTAATAACAATAAGCACCTGTCTTCACAGGCACACACACGCTGCCGTGGATCATCACTGCGCTTCACTTGCCAGGTCACTGTGCCAGCACAAGTAACACCTGCTACACACGGTTTCTACTGGGCTTGTGTGGCAGCCCTGGGAGGCAGCCAGCTCTGCACCGTGCCAGCCCTCCTCAGCCCTTCATTGCCACCTATGCAGTCTGGCTCGAGCACCACGAAATGGAGTCATGAAGATCAGACAATAATGTGAAGGGCTCTGATCTGTGGCGCCACATGACCGGCTGTCCTGGGCCTCGGTGTGGCCACAGGCTGCAGGTCAGATGTGCCTGCGAAGCAGAAAGGGACTCCCAGGAGATGGAACCTTTGGCCTTAGCTTCACCCACTTTGGGTATCTTTTCTCTCTGCCTCTTCCTCCGCCTCTCATCTTTCCTCTACCCTAGGTCTGGTTTGGCTAACGAGCTTTCATAGAAAAACAGCAGATGGAGCCAGGCGTGGTGGCCCATGCCTGTACTCCCAGCACTCTGGTGGGCTGAGGCAGGAAGATTGCAAGTTCAAGCAACTTATCGAGACCTTGTCTCAAAAACGGGTAGGGACTGGGGATGTAGCTCGGTGTGTAGGCCCTGGATCCAATCTGGAGCACAGCAAAACCAAAAGTCACTGCAGATTGTTTTCCTCTGGACAATGTCTCATCTCCCAACAAACACTTAACACGGTTAGCAGCACCCTTCCTCGCCCCCTGCAGTAACATGGAGATGTGAACTATATTTGACGTTCATACACTTGGACCAATACCAGTGCAATATAACACCCACCTAATTCAGATATATCTATGAGCCGTCGGATGCGTCAGTTAAGTCATAACAAAATGGCGCACACACGAAAAGGAGGAAGGATGGTGATTTCCATGATCCCTGGATGGTCCTTCAAAGCCCTCTCTCCCTGCCAAGTAAATGTACTTGACAGCAACTTGGGGAAATAAAATTATAAGTTTTAAGATCAATTCACAAGCTAGGTACAGTGATGTACACCTGTAATCCCAGCTACTTGCGAGGCTGAGATAGAAGGAGCTCAAGTTCAAGGCCACCATGGGCAACTTAGCAAAATCCTCTCAAAATGAAAAAAAAAAAAAAAAGATCTGGTGAGGTATTTCAGGGGTAGAATGCTTGCCCAGCATGTGTGAAGCCCTGGGTTCCTTCCAGTGCTGAAGGAAAGACTAATTCATGTTGAAGGTAAAGCTGAAGAGAGAGTCAAAGATGAATTTGGACTTCACATTTGGGCAAATGGGTGGCTCTTTTAATCCCAAGTGGCTGAAATGCTTTGGGGGTGGGGAATGGAGTCTCCCTATGTTCCCCAGACTGGTCTTGAACTCCCTGAGCTCAGCCAATCCCCCTGCCTCATGTGTGGCTTAGCGGCCAGACTCTCTGGCACAGGGCAGATGTTAAATGCCTGTGTGTCCAGTAAATACATACATACATACATAGAAATATTAGATAAATAGATGACTAGACAGACAGGTTTATTATAAGGAACTGTCTCATGCCATCGTGGAGGACGGGAGGGCCCCAACTCCGAAATCAGCAGGCTGGAGACCCAGGAGAGGCCTCATGGAGATCCAGTCCAAATCCACAGGCCTGGGCAGAGGGAGAGCCCGAGATGTGGCAGCAGAAGCCATACACACTCGTGGGAACTGCACTGGGAACTGTGAATCAGACAGGTGCTACCATCCTCTCCTGTGGAGCTCAGCTCCCAGCCAGCCTCTCAATCACAAAGGGGAGCAACCAGCTCACTGCAGCATGTTGTAGTGCTAAGCCAGGATGCTTGGTAAGTTAGATGGACTAGTGCATTTCAACACGTGATATTTTCAGTTTATAGTGGATTTATCATGACTCATTTCTACTGTATGTCAAAGAGCAGCTGTGGCTCATGTCTGAAAGCCTGTGGTTTGAAACCCAACACAAGCCAATGTTTTACTTTGAGTCCAAAGGCCAGAAAAGACTGTTGTCCCAGCTTACAGGCAGCCAGGCAAGAGGAGCTCCCTTTATTTGGCCTTTTTTTTTTTCCTAATTCAGGTCTTCAACTGATTAGTTGAGGTCCACCACATTAGGAGAGAAAATCTGCTTTAATCTATTCACCAATTCAAAAGTTAAACTTTGTGCAGAAACAACCACCCAGGCATGTGCAGAATGTTTAACCGAATATCTGGGGACCCTGTGGCCCAGTCAAGGTGACACAAATTAATCATTATAATCTTTTCCAATCAGTCAATAAGCTCTGCTCTTTTTTAAAATTTTATTTTATTGGTACATCTTAGGTATACAATATAATGACATTCATCATTGGAAATTTGCACCTTTACATAGTCTTTCTTGGTTCTTATTTTTCACCCTTGCCCAGCCCTCCCTTCAACCCCTCCACCCCTCCCTATTTACAAAGACTTTGCTTCAATTTTTTTCATTTTCTCACATTAATTCCATTCCCTTCTTTCCTTTCCCCTACCCCTCTCACTTTCCCTTTGGCCCTTTTCTTCCTATTTCACATTACCTACTATACCTTTTAGTCCTTATTTACACTTTCAGTTTCTCACACCAGAGAAACTATTTGGTATTTACACATGTGTCCTATTTATTTCACTTAAGAGGATCATCTCAATGTGCATCCACTTAGCTATAAATGTCTCTAATTTTCATTTTTATGGCTGAGTAGTACTCCATTTTATTTTTTTAAAAAACCCCACATTTTCTTTATCCAGTCGCCAGCTGATGGGCATTTGGGCTGTTTCCAAGTTTTAGCTATTATAAACTGTGCTGCTATGAACATGGGTGCACGTATATCACTGTGGCATGATTCTTTTAATTCTTTGGGGAAGATCCCCAGCAGGGGAATAGCTGGGTCAACTGAGCTCTGCTTTTCTTGAGAATTGTTTTCTTTACAGCCAGGAAAGACAAGCACACGCCAGGATCCCTGAGCACATTTAATGCTGGGACTCTTGAGAAAGGCAGGGGCAGGATGGAGAGACTCAAGTTTAAGGAATGAAGTCCTCAAGCACATTGCTTTCGAGGGTCATCTCTGACAACCAGACGCTGTCATTTTGTAAGTAGGGAAATGAAGGCAGAGGGGGCTCGGTGACATCTGGCATGCTGCCTCCCAGCTGCCACAGTCCCATCCAGTTTTCATCCACTCTGGAGAGAGTGTGGCAATTCCCTAAGGGCTCCTGTCCTTCTATCTCCAGTCCATCCTGACTCACTGCATTTCACATCCAATTTACATTGACTCCTGTGCTGATTCTATCACCTCCTGGACTCAGGGGACATCAAGCCTTTTTACCCATCCTGCCAACATCCGTTCTCCCTCTTCCCGGTGGCAGGACTCTGGGTCATCTTCAGGAATGCCCAACCCCATTATCAGCCCACATGGAAGCAACCACATGACCAGACCTGGCCAATGAGAGCACCACAGTCCCTCTGACCACAGTGATTGGTGAAGGGTTTAGGATTGAAACCTGATTGGAGAAATGAAACTAGAGGTGGGGGAGAGGCGTATTTGGAGGATTCTGGGAAAGCCATGTTTTCTGTCTGCGCCACACTGGAGAAAGAGACCTTCAGCCTCCTTGTGGATGGAAAGGTGTTAGGAGGTCACATATGGAAGTACTATGGCCATTGTGCTGCCATACATGAGGGCCACAGAGAGGGGGTGTTGTGAGCCTAGTACCTACACTGTTGAACAGAGACAAGAGGAGCCAATGTTGGCTTTGAGATCCTGTATCCAGTGAAACCTGAAGAGAGAGACTTCTAAATTCTTCATTTAATAGAGCTAATAACTTTTATCAGAAGCCAAGTTCAATTTTTTGTGTCCCTTCTAAATGATGTAAGCGAGGTGTATGTATTTCATGTTTTAAAATTATTTTATTCCACAGCACTTAGAACAAGTTGTACCCTTAAAGTAGTCAAATGAATATTCTTTTAATGCTCATGTAGGCTTATTTAAACACACACACACCCACTCTCTCTCTCTGTCTCTCACACACACACACACACACACACAGCGCATCAGCAAATAAGCACAACAGATGGCATTTCCACACAATTTTTTATTGTTGCAATAAAGTCACTTGGAAGCTAGGCATGGAAAATACCACACAAAAGCTGCTTCTCCGGGAGAAAGGGAGATGGTGTTTGCCATTGTCTCCACTCAGCAAAGACAGCTTGGTCTGGCATGTGTTTCCAGCTGTTGTGGTGCTGAACTGGCTGAGAAAATCGGAAAGGCAGGTCCCATCTTAGCAGAAAACAGTGCTGGGGGAAAAGGGAGACAGGGTGGAAATTCTGAGTCAACACAAGAAGCTAGGATGTAAAGGGGAGGAAATGCATCCATGGGGGTAGATTTAGAACTGAGGCTTTTGTGGAATCAAAGTATTGCTTCGTAACCAGGGCTTCAGCCAGAGCTCCTGGGTGGATTTTTAAAAATATGTTCATGGCTGAGGCCCAGCCTTGTGGCTGCTGGCTCATAGGTGGAGCAGTAGCATCTGTAGATTTTTCTAAATCTCAAGAGCTTATTCCGATCTGCATGCCTAGTTAAAAAACAAAACCCAGGATTAAGCATTTGAAAATTCTATCTAAACTTGGACAAGTAATTAAATTGTTTTAAAGGAAGAGTATCGTGAAGCATTGAGGAATTCTGCAGATCAAAACATAGCAGTAATAAATAAAAAGCATTTGGGGGGAGAAAGGTTGAGCATGGTTAGAGGTTAAATATGAGTGATCAAAATATACAGTGGTTGTTTACATTTTAAAAGTTTATTACACTAAAGATGAATTCCCATGAACCCACCTCAAAATCCTCCCCCTTACTTCAAGCATTCATATCCCATGGTTCTTGCCACTTTCTGAAGCAGTTCTGGAAGTGTTCTTTTGTGTCTTTATGACGTGTGATAAAAGATACACTGAATGCTGCTTCCAAGTGGCATCTAACGGAAAGGCAGCCTTGTGAAAACAGGATGGCGTGTCCTCATCCATCTTATTCACCAGACCTGGCACCATGTGACTGCTGGCTCTTCCCCAAAGTCAAAGTGACCATGAAAGGTAACAGTTTTGAGTCAATTCAGGACATAGAGGCAGCCACAACAGAGCAACTAAAGACACAAGAGTACTTTCAAAATCACTTCAGAAAGAGGGCGGAACAATCAGATTGGTGTGTTTGAAGAGAGGGGGAGTATTTTGAGGGGAATTAATGGTAATGTGTCTTTTACTGTAATACTTTTTTTTTTTCAATGTAAACATTCACCATGTTTTCCATCACACCACGTACTGGGCTTGGTCCTGCAGGGCTGGGTTTGGGTCCAGATAGACGAAAAGATCAAGGACCACACAAGGCTGGCCCTTTCCCACCGCACACTCGTGGAGAAGTTGCTAGGCGCGTTGATCCCAGAGCAGAGGGTCCTTTGTTATGACTTGTAACCACTGTGTCATTTTTTTGCTCCACTCTGCCAGTCCGCTTGCTTTTCTTTTTACCTTGGATTCGTTTATCAAACATGGGTTGAGCGCCTGCTGAGCTGCAGGTACCAGGACACCCTTGACGTAGGCAGGCCCACTGCCAGGTCGATGGAGACGGCGGAGAAAGCAAGGGATGATCACACAGGGAGAGAAGGCAATGCCGAGGCGAGAGACCAAGGACTGGGGGTGACAGGGGGCTGGTATGGCAAAGGCTGAGCGGGAGGACGGGGCGGAACATGGACATGAGCAAGACCTGCGGGGGGGGGGGGGACTTGAAAACGTAATTGCCCTGCTGTTCCCAAGGTGTCCGGTCGATCGATGCCCGAAGCTGTGGCTCGGGCGGTGCCCCTAAGCAGACTGACCGGCTTCCCCTGTAGTTCCCCCTCCCCCTCCCCCTCGCCCCAGTCCTTCTATTTCTCTCTCCCCCTTTCCTGAAAAGCAAATGTATCCACCTGGATAAGGACACGGGTGTTGGGCAGCACAGGCTGGAACAGCCCCTGAGCCCGCCGCCTCCGGCCACGCGCACGGTTAACCTTCGCGGTCAAGCGGCCGGACGGCGAGGCGGGGTTACGCAGCGCCCTCTCGCCAGGCGTGGCCGGCTGCTGTGCTGGCCGCGGTCCCGCCTCGGACTCGGCTCGCTGGGCGCGGGCGCCCTCTGGTGGCCACCGGCGTCGCAGTCCCTCCGCAGACTGCCCTCGTCCTCGGAGCGCCCCAGCCCCAGCTCGCCTTCCAAGGCCAAGGGGATCCAAAGGGCGGTCGCACTCAGGCAAGGCTCGCAGTCGGCCAAGCTGGGCGCAGGACGGGGAGGAGGCAGATCCCGGGGGAAGGAGGCGCCTTTCAACTGCGAGCGCGATCTTAGCGGGAAAGGACTCTGCGCCCAGGGACGGACGTTCCTGGGCGCGTCAGAGCTAAAAATGAGCGGGACAGAGGCCAAAGCCCCACTTTGAAAGGTTTCTTTGGCTTCAGGGGTCTTCAGGAAGCCTTTAAGGAAGTCTTGGGATAAAGCCCAGGGTTTTCAGGTCCTCTCAAAGAGGTGTGGGGTCTCCAGAGGGACCAGAGTTCACACATTACCCTGGAGTATTGAGACACATTTCAGGGGTGGGGGCGTACGCCTGTGACCCTAGCACTACGGAAGGGGGAGGCGGGAGGATCCCCCGGTTTGAGCCCATCCCGAGCAACTCGGCGACTTGGCGAGACCCTGTCTCAAAATTAAAAAACAAAAACAGTGTTGAGGATGTAGCTCAGTTTGAAGGCCCTGGATTTGAACCTCCGTACAAAAACAACAAAAACCTCTGGTCTCTCGAAGTATATCAGATACAACTCTCAAGTCCACCAATAGGATGGGAGACCAAATGCAGGTGCAGAGTGACCTCGTCGAGAAGTTTGCAGCCCCTGGCACCAGGTGACCAAGGCTTCCCGCCCGGGGAGCCCCTGCCCCAGAGGGTTAGAGAACTCAGGGAATGAGCCCTTACCGTTAGAACAGTACTGGCCCTGCAGGGTAGGTAGAGGATGGGCCAGTATGCCTGGATGCGGCGGGGGAAAAACAAAGGACAGCGATGGAGCTGTATGTAATTAGGGGAGCACACACTGCCTAAAAAGCACGAATTGCAGGTCAGGACGCATATATGGTTCCAGGTGGGAAATGCAAACCCAAACGTGTAAATATATGTGTAAAAGATTTTTAAACTGAGTCTAGAAAGAAACACATTGAATTATTAATGGTGTACACTGCTAGAGAGTATGTTTGGAAGTGTGGGGTTTTAAAATTTTTGTTGTTTTATTTTTTACTTATATGCAGTTTATATTTGATTCTGAGGCAAATATATACGACTCTTGGAAGTGAAAAAAAAAAAAAAGGAAAAAATGTAACTCCCACGTGGCAGGCTGTTGTAAGCAAATCACAAAGAAAGGAAACCCGCCACAGAGTCTGAATCAAGCAGTCCACAGGGAGATTTTCTCATCCCTGTAAAGAACCTTTAAAACTGCTCGAATATCTTAACCATTTGCCCACATGCATTTTTATTACAAAAAGAGCTTAACAAACTTAAGAACAGGGGAATTTAACTTTGTATTTAGCCCAGCAAAAATGTATTGTGTCAGGCACTGCATTAAACTGTGAAGACTTGAAAATGACCAAGATCTCTGCCCTCTGGGAGTTTGTTACTGGTTAATGCTTTCCAAACTTTCACATCCTTTCAAATTACTTGGAGGCATTGTGCATTGGCTATCTACTGCTGTATAAAAAATTATCCCAAAGAACAAACATTTATTATCTAACGGTTGCCGAGAGCCAGGAATTCAGGAGTAGTAGACTTCGTGGCTCAGGGCCTTTCAGGAAGTTACAGTCCAGATGTTGGAGGCTGCTGTCATCGAAATCCCCACAGAGCTGGAAGACTCACAGGCTGCTGGCCGGAGGCCTCTCTCCTTGGTCATGTGAGCATCTCCACAGATTAACTAACTGCTTGAAGGACTTCGTGACCTGCCAGCTGGCTTCCCCCAGAGCAAGTGACCTTAGGGAGCACAGTGGACTCCAGTGTCTTTCATAACCTTGTGTTGTGCTATGGTTTGGACGTGTTTGTCCCTCGACAGTTCCTGTGCAGGAAGCTGCTGCCCACTACTGAGATGGTAAGAGGTGGTGGAAGTTTTAAGAGGCAGGACCTAGTGGGAAGGGATTAGGGTTGGGTCCCAACTGCCCGATTGGAGGGATTAATGCAGGCCTCTCAGGAGTGGGTCAGTTCCTGCAGAGCAGGTTGTGAGGAGGGAGTGAGCCTGGCCCCCGCTCCCTCTCCTGCTTCCTCTCCCCAGCTGAGAGGTTAAGTGCTCCTGCCACCCGCTGTGCTGTGACCAGCCAGGGGCCTCTCACCGGATGCTGCTACCAAGCTATTTGGACCCTCCACCCAGCAGAAGTTGTGACTCACATAAACCTCTTTTGGTGTGGGGTATCCAGTCTCAGGTACTGTCGTGACCACACAAAACAGACGCAGGCACCTTGGAAGCCGCACTCCCCCAGTTCTGCCATGTTGTTCGCTGGCCAAGAATCACAGAGCACAGCCCATACTCAAGGCAAGGGAAATTAAGCTCCGTCAGATAGAGGGATATCAAGGAATTTGTGGACATAGTCTAAAATGCAGATTCCAACTGAGAAGGTCCAGGGAGGACCTCAAAATTCTGCATTTCTGACATGCTCCCAAGTGACACTACTGCCACTGGGCTGTGGATCACATTTTAAATAGGAGATCGAAGACATGCAGAGAACTACGGCTTAGATTGCCTCTTTGGAACTACACTGTTTGCAAGAATAACATCCTTTGTCACCCTAGCATCATCTTTGGATCATATCCAATTCTAAATCACATTTCACCTGAAAGGTCAGAGCAGTGAAGTAAGAGAAAGACAAGATTACCTTGTTAATACGCAAGGACAAGCTGAAATGGAATTAAAAACAATCAAAAGGGGATTCAGAAAATCTCTCCAGCCTTGTTCTGGAAGCTTTCAGAAGCATAAAAGAGTAGCCATCAATTTTGAAGGGGAGGCTAAACAAACAGCCGCCAATCTGGGCTTTTAATAAAGATTGTACACAATGCCTTCCTATGACTGAGACTCCTGCCTGCAGCAGTTACAAAATTAGCTTTAAAACAGGAAGGCAAGGACTAGCACCAAATCCCTGATCAAGCAAGGCTCCTACATGCTCTGTCCGCCTGAGGATTGGTAAATTAAAAACAGTTTCCCCATTTAACATCCTGGATTGAAATTTGTTTAAATACAGCATAAATCTATACATTCTGTGCCTTGTTTTGTTATAATTCACATCCCAGAAAATCCACAATTTTAAAGGGGGCATCTGCAGGCTTAACTGTGTACCCAAGGTTGTACAAGGACTCTAACTCAAGAACATTTTCATCACTGCATTAGTAGTTACTCCTCATTTCCTCCCAACACCCCAGCCCAACTTAGCAACCACTAATCTCCCTTTGGTCTCTATGGATTGGCCTAGTCTGGACATTTTATATAAGTAGACGATAAGTGGTCTTTTGTATCTGGTTTCTTTCATTTTGTGTTTTTAAAATTGTGGTAAGAAATACACATAATGCAAATGTGCCTTAACCACTTTCAAGTATGCAGTTACGCAATCACTACCATCTATCTCCAGAACTATTTCATCTTCTCAAATTGAAACTCTAGGGCCAGGAATTTAGCTCAGTGGTTCAGGCACCTGCCTGGCAAGCACAAGGTCCCGAGTTCGATCCCCAGTACCAAAAAACAAAACAAAACAAAAACTGAAACTCTACTCCCAAGCATGTTTGTGGGTTCATCCACTTTATAGCATGTGTATAGGTCAGCTTTTCCATAGCTGTGATAAAATGCCCAATACCTCCAACTCAGAATAGATTTATTTTTGCTCAGTTTCAGCAGTTTTAGTCCAGAGCTGGCTGGCTGCAAAGCAGAAACATCATGGTGGACGGGTGTGGTAGTGCAAAGCACACACAGGGGAAGAGGACTAGAGATGCATGCTCCAAGCTACACCTAAAGTGACCACCTCCTTCAACTGGGCTCCACATCCTAATTCAGCTATGGACATCAGCGGGTTAATCCACTGATGAGCACAGCTCCCCCATGATCCAATCTCTTCTCCAGGAGTCTCTTCATCCAGTCAAGTTGACAATCAATACTAATTGGCACATTGTGTATTCATGATTTATTCCTTCTGATGCCTGAATAATATTCCACTGTAAGAACAGACCACATTTTGTTCTTCAGTTCATCAGTTAATGGGGCATTTGTATGCTTTTCACTTTGTGTTGTTATGAATAATATTGCCATGAACATTTGTGTACAGATATTTGTTTGAACATAGTTTCATTTGTTTGGTTTATACCTAGGAGAAGAGCTGTTATATCACCTGAACCCTGTCTAACTGAGGAATTATGAGACGTTTTCCACAGTGGCTGCACCATTTCACATTTCCACTAGAGGACTGCAGCTTCCCCACATCATGGCCAACAACTGTCATTTTCTGTCTTTCCGGTTGCAGCCACCCTACTACCACCCGCTACGTGGCATCTCATTGTTTCGCCTAATGACTTACAATGGTGAGTTTCTTTTTCTATGCTCATTAGCCATTTGTATATGTTCTCTGGAGAAATGACAATCCAAATCCTTGGCCTAGTTTTAAAGGTGGGCTATTTGCCTTTTCGTGGTTAAGTGTTCCTTATATAGTGTAGATACAAGTCCCTTACCAAAAATATGATTTGCAAATATTTTCTCTCATTCCATGGGTTGGGTTGTCTTTTCATTTTGAGTGTTTTTCTAAGTACAAAAGCTTTAACTGTGATGAAGTGCAATGACCTGGTTTTTCTTTTGTTGCTCGTGCTTTTAGGTGCTGATGAAATGTAAGTTGTGGGGGAGTCCGTGGGGGAGCCAGATACCTACAAGACAGTTCTTTACAAGCAATTTACAGTCTATCCTGGGGGCCCTAGCCCTAAACACACTAGAACCAACTGAGCCCTAACCCATTTAAATCAGAATATATGGTCTATGAACTAAAAATTTTTTTTAAGATATAAGGACTCGCTACATTGCCCAGGCTGACCTCCAACTCCTAGACCCGAGTGATCATCCTACCTCAGCCTACCCAGTAACTGGGACGACAGGTGTACACCACTGTGCCTGACCAAACCGAAAGTTCTTAAAAGATCCAAAATCATTCTAACAATGTGTAGCTAGAGAGGAGAATCATTGATCTAGGTTTTTATAAATTAAGATGTGAAAATCAGAAAATGTTTCACCAAAGTTTGAAGAGTTTAGTCAGTTTTGGTTCATTCGAGAAATGAATGTAATTCAACTTTGCAAAATACCATCCCCCCACCTTAGTCTACTCTGGCTGCTATAACAAAATGCCACAGACTAGGTAGCTTATAACCAACAAAAACTGACTGCTCACAGTTCGGAGGCTGTGAAGTCCAAGGCCAAGGTGCTGGCAGATTCGTGTCTGGGGAGGGTTCACGTTCTCAGAGCCAGCAGCCTTCCGTGGCACAGGGTGGAGGGGTGAGGGTCTTCCGCAGGCCTCTTACAAAGGCAGTGATGCCATTCCTGAGAGCTCCACCTCCACGGCCGGTCACTTCCACAGGTCCCACCATCAGCTTTGGTGTGCAGATCTCAACACATGAACTTGGGGGGCACAAACATTCAAGCCACAGCACCTTCTCACCCACGCCACACACAATTCAAACTGGAAACAATGACCACCTGCCTTTACCTGATGGACTTTAGGGTTACTCTGGCTTAGTAAGCTTAAACATCCTCATATTCTAAATTCCCTTTTGTTATCAGTAAACTCAACTTTTTTTCCTCTTAGAGTCCAGCTGCTGGGGGTATGAATGGCACAGTGGTAGAGCACTTGCCTAGCATGTGCAAGGAAAGGTCCTGAGTTCAAACCCCACAACCAAAAAAGAAAAGAAAAGAAAAACCCTGCTGCCAACTTACTAATGATTCATTCTTAATATTTCAGGACAAAATTAACTAGGAGACCAACCAAATAAGAAACAACTTTGAACACAGCTGGTGAACTGTCAGTCTTATGGCATAAGACAACAACAACAAGAACAACAAAACCAACACTGAAGTTTTATTAATGAAAAAAATACTCCTGTAATTAATTAACAAAATGCACACAGTAATAACTGTACAATTCCTTCTCTGTAAATGTCACTTGTTAACTACCATCTTTCACAGACAAGGGCAGGGAAACATACTTCACAGTCTTTCCGATAAATATATTGCAGCGCGGCATCCGGCCTGGATAACACTCTTCAAGATGGCATACGCTGGGGCCTGTTAAAAACAACAAGAGGCTGTGGATGTAGCCCAGGGGGAGAGCGCTTGTCTAGCACGCCGAGGTTCTGGGTTCGATCCTTAGGATTGGGCCAGCGCATGCACACACACATGCACATACTCAGAAGGCAACCAAAGAAACATGCTGTGTGTTCCGTCTTGGTTGTAAATGGAACATACAACTTCTCTGGATAAAAAATGAGATCTGACAAGCAGTTTCTTTTCATTTAGGTGAGAAAGCTATTCAAAAGATCCAAACGTGTCTGCTACTGCCAGAACACCGGGCAACCGGTTTCTCACAGAGAAGGGGAAAGCGGCTCCTGGGAAAAGGATGAGGGATGGAGCAAGAAACAGGACACCCACCTGGTCTGCTTTGCACCATGTGGCCAGTTTGCTTGCTTCTGTCTATCGCTTGACAATTTATGTTTGTGGGAAATTTTACGTTTGGCCCCCAAACGCACCAAATAAGGATCCCCAAGTACCACGCGTCATAGCAGGTCCCTACCAATTCCGCATCATGGGAAAGGCCTGTGTCATGGTGCTCAAGCTCTTCATCTCGAAACTTCTTTATCAGCTGGTTCAATAAAAAGAAATCAAAGCAAGTCATTATCCCGTAGTCTAAGGCCGGGGTAGGCGTGCTACTCCTACTACTCCTGTGCAGGGCCAGAGAGTAAAAACTTCACACACACACACACACACACACACACACACACACACACACACGTACATTTTGATCATATCCATCCCCCTTATCACTCTCCCTTATGTTTTTTTTTTTTGGTACCGGAGATCGAACTCGGGACCTTGTGCTTGCGAGGCAGGCGCCAGAACCACCGAGCTAAATCCCCGCCCTCACTCTCCCTTATTAAAGTCTCTGATTCCCACCCCCCCCTTTCCTCTTGTCTAATAACAGTCAGAGGGGATACACTTCAAGCCCCGCAGGCTATATAATCTCCGAATACCCCTCTTGGCCACTGTACCGGAAAAGCAGCCCAGACTTGCAATGATGGGTGTGGCCAGGTTCCAATATAACTTTATTTACAGAAACAGGTGTGGTTGCAGGCCACAGTTTGCCAACATCTGACTTAGACCTTCAAAATTAAATAGTTCCTTTGGAGCCAGGGGTGTTCTTATATGCCTGGAATCCCAGCTACTCAAGAGGCTGAGGCAGGAGCTTCACGTGAATCCAAGATTTTGAGGCCAGCCTGGGTAACATTATGAGATCCAGTCTCAAAAAACAAAACAAAACTCAACTAAAACTCAACTAAAAATTAAAGCTCCTTATTTGCTGTGAAGACACCCAAGGCTATTACCTCATCCATTTAATCTAAATCATTGTGCTCACAGCATTTGCTCAGAATCCACCAGCAATGCAGAAGTGGAGAGAAACGGGCAGGCCTGGGCTCAGGATGTACAGGTTCTAGTCCTCACTCCCTGAGCTGTGTGACCAGGGCAGACAGCTCCACCTCTGTCTCTGTCCCTTAGTTTGTCCACAAGTGAGTCACTAACCTCGAAGTCTAAGACCCTCTCATCCTCTAAAATTGTATTTTTTCTTTTTAGCAACTGCCCATCTGCCCTTTCTCCCCTCACACAGCCCTTTCACAGTGCAGGCAGCCAATCACCTGCAGAAGTTCCTCATATTTCTCAGGGTCCTCCTCCATCAGCGTCCTGATCTGGTTGTTATAGTGATGGGCTATGGTCTCTTCCACTGCCACAGTGCAGGCCATTGCACCTTCCTTCCCGAGCAAGGCGGTTCCTGCTCCTGGAATTGTCAAACCCAGCAGTAAAGTACGGGACAGATACCACTGGGAAAACAGAGCGACCAGGCCGGGCTTTCTCAGCCTCAGTACTGCTGTGCACTGCTGGGTATTTCACAGCTTCCTTGATATCTACCAGCTAGATCCCGGTACCACTCCCTCAATTGTGACCCATTGGAAATGTCTTCAGATACTGCCACATGTCCTCAGGGGGCAAAGTCACCCTGGGGTGAGGAGCACTGCTGGAGGTGGTACCAGGGCCAGTTAAACCTCCAGGCACACAATAAGAAAGCTCTTTGCTTTCAGTACATTTTCAGTCTTCATGTACATCAAGAGAAAGTACATTTGGGCTAAGTATATCTTTGATCTTCTACACTGCTTTTCTTTAGACTCCCTTTTGAAAAGCCCCAGTAGATCTCAGGTTTAGAATCTGTGTCAGAGAACAGTACAGGGCCGCAAGTGAATTATGCCAGCTTATTCCCTGTGTTATGTTTTACTGTACTTTCTATTTATAAAAGAACTGAGTCTATCTGAAAGAGATTTAAGCACAAAGAGAAAGGGAGAAAGAAATTCAATCAATTTAACTTTAGGGAAATAGTAAATTAAACAGGTTGTCCAAGGACAGGACGAGAACCTGGATGAGGAAGCAGGATGACTCATCCGTCACCCAGGCCCCTGGGCCCCATCGGCACCTCTGCACAAACACATACCCAGCGCAAAGCCCGTGACATTCCAAAGAGGCATCAGGACTGTTGGCCGGACCCTGAATGCAACCATCAGCTCACTGAACTTTTTCAAGTGGGCCTTTTCTTGATCCCACATTTTCTGTAAGAAACAAAAATGAAGATAGGCAAGCATTCAAGAGGCCTCCTGTTGTACCCGAGGCAGGCTATGGGGCCTCTTGGTGGAAGCAAAATGTAAACGGAACAGATGCTGAGGACGGCTACCGCCTCCATTTCTCTAAAACATCAGATGAAAAAGAATTTCTGCAGCAATTTTGGAAGTCCTCCTATGTGAGTGTCTTTACGAGGCATGATAAAAAAAGATGGTGACTGCTGCTGCCAGTTGCCCACCAATGGAAAGGCGGGCTCACAAAACACTACGGCCTGTCCTCCTCCACCTTATGTACCAGATCTAACACCACAGGACCGCTGGTTCTTCCCCCAGGGCAAGACGAGCGGGAAAGGTAAACATTTCGACATTGAGACAGCCGCAGCAGGGTACCTAAAAACTTCCACAGCTTCCTCAGAAAGTGGCAAGAATGATAATTGTATTCAGGGGGATTAATGGCAATCTGTCTTTTATTGCAGTAATTTTTACAATTTTAAATGTTCAGCGTATGTTTTTACTGTGCCTTGTGTATCTATCTGTGTTTTGTCCATAAAAACAGCAACATGTTTTCTGCTTGTCATTTCCCCCTAAGAACCCATGTTCACTCTTGAGGACAACAGCACCTCCTCTGGGAAGGCCTGACCTAATGTGATTATTGCGAGCCTTCAGGTCCACTTATTCGGGAGACCACACTGCGGAGATAAAGAAGTGCCCACCTGAATGACCGGTCCAACACTTGTCCGGCCCAGGACAGCCATCTGCCCTGCAAGGATTCGATTTGCTCCATATTCACCTGCATGATCCACCCGGATTATTCGATCCATGGCTGCCCAATTGATGTTGTCTAAGGTCATTCCTGAACTGCAAAATCTGAGGCCGATTTTTTTTCCATAAGCTGCAATGCAAGTGCAAGTTCTTCATTACTCTCAGGAAAAATTGAGCTGTTTTCTTTTACAGACAGAAGAAAGGGGCACTTTAGAACAAAGGTCCCGAATGAGCTTCCTGAGGGCTGGGAGTGCCCACTGTATTCTGTTTTGCCTGCGTGTTAACATAGGGAAGATTTTACCCAAAGGTTGGGTTTCTGGCATCACTTGAAATGTATGGGGATCTGGAAATGTTAAGCCTGTGTTCTAGAAGGTCACGATGTCTACCTCCCCCAGCCCTCCCACTGCTTTCCTCAATCCAGACCACTGATGGTCAGAAAAAGCACTGTACAGATCTCTGCAGCCAAGGTTGAGAGCCTCAAATCTATGTTCTCTTAAAATGCCAGACCCTGGAGGCATTTGAGAGCTCAGCCTTAGAATTTAAGTCTTTTCTTATTGTGTCTTCATGTATGCCCTCCTCATCTTCAAAACGGACATTCTTCACCACAGACTGAATTTAATATTTTTAAAAATATGAAATGGTTAACACCTGAATTATATATTTTTGAGCCCTAATTTTTTTTCTCCAAGAGAAGGATTTTGTAGTATGCTTAGGTAAGGCATGTTTGTCTACACATACAAAAATGGAGACCAGAGGTCCTTTAACCGTAATGTCAACTCTGACCTGCACTAGCATCCCTTTGAGATATGTTTCAGTGTTCTTAAGCTGTGGCTGCCATGTCTGTTTTTAGATCTCTTCTTTTTCACTCAGGCTAACTTCACCAGCCAGAGAATGTGAGGGAAAAATCACCTTGAGTACGTCTATGATCCTTTCATTAAAAAGGCTTGAGGGACACAAGGTCCCAAGGTAGGTTTGGAGGAATCTGTGGTGGTTGTGAACCGGAAATTTTCTACCAAATGGAGTTTACATGCTACACCTTAAAGGAGCATGGACGTGGGGCTCTGAGCATCGCCACCCAGCTTTGGCCCACTCCTCAGAACGACCTGCTCCATCTCACTGAGCACATCTGACTCAAGAAATCAGGTGGAGTCCAGGAACCAGACATCAAGAAGCAGATGGGGTCCAAGTGTTGGCAAGTGTGATGTACCCATCAGGACTGCGCCACCAGACAGCAGGCCACTGTGGTTCATGACCACATGGTTGTGGCTGAGACCTCAGACAAAGTCAAGATGGCCTTCACAACTTTTTGCCTCTAAGTCCAAGGGATAGTACTTCCAGTAGACTGATCTCCTTGTAGAAAGATGGAGTTTAGCAATGGAAGCTGATGAGCTGGCTCTGTTTCTCAAAATAATCTTGTTTGTTTATTCTTTCACTTGTTATCACCAGCCAAAAACATGTTAAGAGATAGCCCAGTACTCTTAAAAAACAAAACAAAACTATTTACTGAGAAGGAGCAAGAGAAAGAGGATGTAGGATGAGTTCAAAGGCACAACCTGTTTATTAGAGGTAAAGGGAGGATGTTTGCATCCAAAATTCACTGCACTATTTCCTCACACTACATCACACTTCCAAATTTAGGGAGTCAATAAGTGATTTTTTTGGGGGGGGGGGTTGGGGTGAGGGGCTTGGGTATCACAGTATTTGACATTTCTATCTTCTGCAGTCTCTTGTGAAAGGCCCAGACCTACAGTTAGAAGATATACGTCCTTGGGCCTGCAGAGGAATCACTTTGGCTGCAAAGAATAAAAGGACTGTGTGCAACCAGAAAAAGGAAAAAAGGAAAATGTATGTCCAGTCTTTAACATGAATCTTGAACAAATCAGAATAGATATTTTTTACATATAAAATTCCCAGTATCAGACTATTTTCTTAAGGGAAAGCATACAATAAAACTTTTCTTACTGAGTTATCGTGAGGATGAAATGAGATGCAGAAAATAAAGTAACTTTGTAAATAAAACTGAATGATTATTCTTTGGTTATGCTCACTGACTTAGGGGAGTACTGAACATTCAACAACTCTCTGAGTTCTGACTGGATTGGTACATGCTTTAAAATAAAATTGAGGTAGGGGTGAGGATTTAGCTCAGTGGTGCCCATGCCTTCCTTGCAAACGCAAGGTCCTGAGTTCGATCCCCAGTACCAAAAAATAATAATAATAATAAATAACAAATAAAATAGAGGCCTGGTACTAGAAGTTCTCAGATTTATCACTTTATATCTATGTTTTCCCAACATGTGGAACATGCTAATGGTAGCACCTAGGAGATTTTAAAGTAGAATACTGAAGACTTTAAGTGGCTGTGGCTATGCATTAAATAACACCTACGTAGTTGTGAGTTACTCTTTCAAATTCTCTCCTAATCCTTTTGATTCATCAAGGAAAATAGCCCCATGTACATATGGTATATCCTACATCCTTTCCTAGTTCTTACTAATTGAACCTAACCCTTTTTCTTAACAGAAAAATGGTCTTGAGTTCAAGCCTTGGAAGGTAACAGTATCTAATACAATTTATAAGTTTTTTCTTTCAGTATACTTCTTTTCTATGATTATTCATGCATTTGGGGCACAGAATACTGGCTCTCCCTTTACCATAAGGATTTAGTTTCCATGAAATTACTTAATGTTAAAGTGAGTCACTGTTATACAAAGAACACATAGAAGAATCAAAAGTACAAGCGATCGCTAATAAGGGAAAACTCTTGAAGGCGGTACACAAAGATTTAGCTTTGAGTACCAAATCGACCTCACAATTTTCTGAGGCAGCTAGGACGAAAAAAGGAAACAGAATCCAAACCCATGTCTCTCTACTCCAAACTCAATTCTTTCCACTACACTGATGGTTCTCAAACTTTACCGTGAACATCTGAAAGTACTGATAAAACACAGACACCTACTAAGTAGGTCCTGGGTGGGATCTGAGACTATCCATTTCTAACAAGTTCCCAAGGGAAGCCGGTGATGGCAGGACTACACTTCAGCTGAAAACACCGCGAGCAAAGACTACGGATGACACCTGGGTCCCTGGACTTCCAAGGTCGCAAACTGTCACCGGCCTGGAACGCTGACCACACCGGGAGTGACGTTACGGCACAAGTATGTAGTTATGTCACTCCCCAACTCGTCAACAGCGTCACAGGCGAATCCCAGCCCCAGCCCACCGTCACCCTCTCGGGGTACTACGAGCCCAGCCCGAGGCCAACGTCACGCACTAGCACTGCGTCGCACGCCTGTGACGTATACGACTGGCTTCCCACCCGACCTCTCCGACCCAAGGCTCAAGAAAAAATTCCAAACTCGCCAGCCCAGCATAGGATTCCAGCCGCGGGTCCCCCTTTACCTGACAGGGGCCACTGGGCACTCGTGCACAGCCGCCATAAGGAAGGCGAGGCTGCCGCCCCGGCGCAAGTCATTGCCCGACCAACGAAAGCAGCTACTCGGCTGAATGCGGTAGGCCAATCGTACTCTTGGAGCAGGCTGCTGGCGCAAGCAGACGTAAGGAAAACGCTAATTGCTCTGGGGCTAGCGAAATGCTTGGGCAACGCTTCGATTGGTTGGAAATGGTAAGTGAACCCATTCTATTGGATGCATTGCGACCAATGGTGGTAAAGGAATCTTAGGTTGCTATAGAGAGGACAACGCTAAATTGCTTTTTCAAAAATCCAGACAGAATCAAGCTCACTCACCTAAATTCCTAGGACAGAGGACCCAGAGTTGACAGAGCCATTACATTTTGTTTTACATGGAGTTTTTTTTTAAAAAATCTATTCGTACCCCACATCCATATAAAAACAGTAAGAATTACATACTGAAACTCATCATTGTTACTGCTAGGTGGACTAACAACTGACTTTAGACTTCTTCCTAGTCCTTTTCTCAATTTTCCCATTTTCTACTGGGAAAATTATATATGTTCCACTTTACTGTATTTGTTCCTGTCCGTGTATACTGGTGTAAACTTGTTTTGTAAGGGAAAAGGAAATTTAGCAACATATACTTTTAAAAGCGCATATCCATTAATATTGTAGGCTTACTTCTAGGGGCCTGCCCAACAGAAGTAATTTTTCAAACGAGAAATTTTTGTGAAGGTAGAAAAAAATCAAAAGATGCCTGTCTGGCCAGGTGTAGTGGCACATGCCAATCATCCCAGCACTAAGGAGACTGAGGCATGAGGATCGGCAAGGTCAAGGCTAGCCTGAACTATATATCGAGACCCTGTCTCAAAAAAAAAATCAAAATGCATGTCTGTAAGGATACACAACAAAAGTTAATACTGTATTGGTTAATATCAGAAGGTTGGGATGTTCCAATGGGAGCTCTCAATTTACATTCTTGGATTATTTGTTTCTCAAGCTATTTCTGGTGCTGGAGATTGAAACACAAGACTACATCCCTATCCCTTTAAAAAAAATTTTGACACGGGGCATCAGTAAGTTCTAGGTTACCCAGGCTGAGCCAAAATTAGTATCCTCCTCCCTCAGCCTCCCCCAGTGCTGGAATTATAGACATGCACCACTACACCTGGCTTATTAAATTGCTGATTTTATATAATTCTACAATGTAATTGACACAGTATAATAATTTAAAATTATGATGAACTCAAATACTTAATACTTAGTGACAGTGAAGGCGATGTAACATTTTAATGTAAAGCTGCTGAAAGTATAAATTCATCTTTGGGGTTGGGCATGTAGCTCAGTGGTAGAGCACTTGCCTAACATGTGCAAGGCCCTGAGTTCAATTCCCAGCAACACTAAAATAAAAGAATAAAGTAAAATAAATACAACTGACTCTCAAAAAGTTTTAACATGCTCAAAACCCTTCTTCTAATCCCATTTCTAAGTCTCTGTCCCTAAGGAGAAAAATTGTTGACAGAGATTCATGATATCTCAGTTATTGCTGGGAAATTTTGAAATTAAAGTGTTGAGCAGCAAGGGAATGTTGAAAAGTATGATTTGTGTATGTGCTATTATACTAGCTAGCCCATTGAAATATTTATAAAGAACTTTTGATAACAAAAGAACACAAGTACAAAAGAAGTGAGAATACTAATTTTTTCCTTTCCTTCTTCCAATCTTTCTTGCCTCTCTGTACTTTCTATCTCAAAAGCAGTTTGGGGGCGTCGGGAACTATGGTGCTCCAGAACATCCTGATCACTGGTTAGCATGCTTCTGGGCGGGCGGGGCTGCCCAGTGCTGTAGGGCCTCAGCCGCCGAGGTACACCAGGAGTTGGAAAAATCACAGTAAGCAAAGAACTTGCATCCAGATCAGGACTAAAGTACATTAATGTGGGTGATGTAGCTCGAGAAGGGGCATTATACAATGGCTACAATGAAGAGTATGAGTGTCCCGTTTTAGATGAAGAAAAAGTGGTTGATGAGTTAGAGAACCAAACGGCAGAAGGTGGAGTTATTGTTGACTACCGTGGTTGTGATTTCTTTCCTGAACGATGGTTTCGTGCAGTTTTTGTGTTGAGAACAGATAACAGTATATTGTTCAAAAGACTTGAAACGGGGGTATAATGAGAAGAAACTAGGAGACAGTATCGAGTGTGAGATTTTTCAAGTTCTTTATGAAGAGGCCATGTTATCATACAAGGAAGATATTGTGCACCAGCTGCCCAGCAATACGCCTGAAGAGCTAGAGGACAACAGAAACCAGATCTTGAGATGGACTGAGCAGTGGGTCAAAGGGCACAACCCGTGACTGGTCACTTGGTGGTGGCTCTTTGCTCACCTTGTAGACAGGGCCTCCAAATATCTGTAAAAACCAAAACTATGTGGAAGGCCCAGCAGGTATTTTTATGCCTGGGTTTCTTTTTCTCCATAAGAAAGTTAAACAATCACAAATATAATGAATACAATTATTATTAAGCATTTAAAATATGCATCAGTTGCTAAACAATAAATCTGATCAAACGGGGAAAAAAAGCAGTTTTGTCAAAATTAACAGCACATGTACCTACACGGTGCTTATGAGTGATTTTAATTTTCTCTGTAGCTTTCATTGTTCTCCATATTTTCTATGATAAACAAATATTTTTCTGAGAAAACAAAATTTCAAAAAGAAAAAGCATACTATTCCCTAATTCAACCTTCAAGTATAAAAGCAAATTTACATGTTATTCTTCTATTTTAAAGATGAGAGAACTTTACCTCCAAGAGGTGGAGACATTTGTACAAAATCAACCATTAAGCAAGCAGAAAGCTGTTGCATGTCTTGAGCACATGCCATGCACCGGGCAGGAAATACACCATGTGGACTTACTAGTAAAGCCATGCACTATATAAAGAAGAGACATTCAGAAGTTCTCACCTCCCTTAAGTCAGACTTTGTAGGGGCACCTGGAAAAATTAATTCCTTTGTTCTGCAACACTTAACAAAAGTGATTTGCTGTAATCAGATTTGTAGCTGCAGGAATCTATTTTGCAAACTAAAGACTTGCCTAACTGGATTCTTCCTTCGGTGGGAATGAGAACATTTTGTGATTACAAGAACCTGCAAGTTTTCCTTTAAGATGAACAAGGGCCTGCAGCAGAATGAAGCAAAACAGAACTGTTCGCAGAGGAATGCTTAAAAGTCCATCTTTCAGTGCTTAAAGAGGGGAAGTGGGGCAAAAACAATCCAAGTTGTCATTTGTGGTCACATACATCGTGCGATGGAATGCAATGCAGCCATTAAAAAGAATGAAGTAGCTGCTTACATGCAAAGATCTTCAAGATATTATTAAGAGGGGAAGGAAGAAGCTCAGAAATATATATTTCACAACACACTCCCAAGCATATATATCTGTTTGAATACGTATTAAAGCTTTCTGGAAGAATAAAGTAAATATTAGCAGTGGTTTTCTCTGGGAGTAGGATCAGGAATGCTTGAAATAATTGTGTTTTTTTAAGTTTAAAGCATACACATACACTTGGCCTGACTTCAGTAGAGCCAAGGAGTTTTAAAAGCACTCATCTGATAATTGCATTAAACACTTGTTCGTCTCTCTAATTTTAGGAAAAGATGAAGAGCAACTTTCCAAACTATTACAGGTTTCCATGATCGCGTGATTGCAGACAAGACGCATGTGTGGGTTCAAATATACATAATCAAATTTTAAAACCATCAAGACAGGGGCCAGGGATTTCGCTCCGTGGTTTCACTGCCTGCTGCGCAAGCGCCAGGACCTGAGTTTGATCCCTGGTACCAAAAAAACCCCCAAACCATCAAGACATTATTTAATCAGTAGTTTTAATACACATTAGACAGCTGCACTTTAAAAATTATACAGACATCACTTGAAGTTATTAGTTATCAAAACATATAAAAATTCAAGTATAAGGTATGCAAATTAGCAGCACTTAAGTAAAACTAATATGCTAGTTAGCATATTTCACTATCAATTTTATGATGCAAAGAAAACATGGCAATATACTTTTATTTTATACAACACACAAACACACAAACAGAAACCTGGACTCTCCTCAGGAGCATGGTGAAGGCAACCACATTACAAAAGTGCTAGGCAGAAATGCCAAAATTTGTTTTTTAAGTGAGAATGAAATGGACTTTGGATTACTCAAATTTTATGATACCAGTTATTAAATCATTTAGAAATTCATAAACCTTAACCAGACAGGAAAAGATTGTAAAGTACATCAGTCTGACAGGTACAGATATATCCCATGTTAATAGTACTTCATACAAGAGCGAGAAAATGGTTGTGTTGAGGTCAGGGAGTAGCCCAGTGGTACAAAAGCATATACTGAAGACGTGGGTTCCATCCCCAGCACCGCCTTCCTACATACACGCACACGCGCACACATGCACGCACGCACACATGCACGCACGCACAAACGCACATGTGCATGTTTGTGACAAAAGATCAGGAATCTAGAAATGTATAAGATGACAAGCTTCTTTGCTTCCCAGGGCAAGGAGCAAATCATGTTAAGAGTAATGGGGCAGTGCGGGAGGGTGGGTCAGAACTGTTCTTAGCAGTAGCTTTCTAAAGCTGCATCCAACTTTAAATTCCACCAAAGGTTTGGAGCCAGTGAAAGGAAGAAAAACAATGAAAAAAACTTGACAAAATACTTTGACAAAGATTTTAAAGATATTAAAATGAAAATGGATTGCATTAAGCAATAACTTAGGCTTCAATGAAAAGGTTCATGCTGTCAAATTTAGGTATGCTTATCATGAGGTATTTATTGCATTTATTTTTTACTCTTAACGGAAATCTTAGATATTGTGCTTTTGTAATGTTTTGCAAAATAAAGGCATGTGCACTTAAAATTTTAAGTACAGGAAAACAAACAACAGCCTTTGAAAATACAGAAATGTATATTTAAGAAACCAGCAACCAATCTAACTTGGTGTATGTGACAGGCTGGTATAATGAAAAGGCTGAGCTGTAACCCATACCACTAAACACTTATGCACATAACCCATAGCTCCAATACTAAACAGCCCTCGAAGCCTGGCTCTGAAATGCTGTGTGTGTCCTTCAGAAACGGACATCTCAGTGCAGGAAGGGAAACAGCATCTGGAAGACTGAGAGACTGCCTCCTAATTTCAACAGTGCAGGGTTCTCTGCCAAGTCTCAGAACTGAAGACCAGACAGAAACTGAAGGCTTATGGGTAATTAAAGGCAGCTTTCCCCTGAGTAATAAATAAAGCTATGGCAAAATGCCTACAAAGCTAAGAAGTCAAGGCCGCCAACCTGCTGCAGCCCCCCTCTTTGTGAAGGTTAATCAAGGTATTGAGGGACTGCTTCTTCACAGCAGGAACCGACTTTTTTCCCCTACTACTACCATGTAAGCTAAAATTACATGACAATCTGCTTCATGTTCTTACCACCTGTTCCAGACATCATGATTCAAGAATGCTCTTAATTTAAAAAATTCAGGTTTCATTTTAAGTCACTAGAGTTATTCAGGAGAGCCACAGCTTTTAAGGAAAACTCCTCAGACTAAACTCTTAGAACCAGGTTCAAAAAAAGAACCCAGTTTTGAGAACAGATGACCTAGGGTTAACTTTGAAAGACAACATAAAACAAGCTTTTAAAAACATATAAAAGCCTCTCCTTGATTTTTGTTGTAAAACCCTGAACAGCTACTGTTTTGGTAGAGTTATCACTGAGTTATTAGTCTACAGGTAAAGGCCCGGGTTTCAACCTGCACTTCTAAGTCACTAAAAGGTGGATATGCAAACATGGCCACCACAGCTATGCACAGGAAATTCATCTCACGAAAGCTTAAACTCCAGAAAAATACATTTTAAAATTTCCACTCAGAACCCAGGCAGACTTTGTAGGCTCAGCAGTCAGGAGGCCAACTGAGAAGCAGACAGCAGCACCTCCATGCCCGATCTATTGGTCCCTCAGATCCTGCTGGGCTTCTGTTAGTTTCTGGATTAGATAGCGCTTGTCACGACTTTCCTAAAAAGAGAAATGAGTCTGAAGGTCATGTCATATATTTGGCCACAAATACCATAATTCCTGTCTAGTGAATTACCTCTCATTCTCTGGGCTAAGCAGTCCAACCACTGGCCTATTGCAATGGCATATGATCTGGTCTCTTTCACTTAGATCCTTCTACAGCTCCTTGTCCACAGAGCAACCAGTGACCTTTTAAACATCTACATCACCAGCCAGGCATAGTGGTAAATGCCTGTAATCCCCGCACTCAGGAGATCAAGGCAAGTGGATTGTGCTAAGTTTGAGGCCAGCCTGGGCTACATACAGTAAGTTCAAGGCCAGCCTGAACCACATAGCAAGACAATCTTGAAAACAATATATATATATATGTGTGTGTGTACACACACACACAGTGGTACCCTGGTCCACGAACTTAATTCATCCCCTGATTCTAGGGAAGATGGCTGCATTTGTGTTCATGTGGGAAAGATGGCCATGGTAGTGGTCATCACTTGATGCAGAGTTTGCAAACAGAAGCAAAATTGTGCTGAACACTTCTGTTTGCAAACCAAATTATGTGTTTGTGAAGAGAAGTGTTTGTGAACTGACGTATTACTGTGTGTATGTATACATATACACACACATACACACCACCTTCTACTTAACACACTCCAGTGGTTTGCCGTCACACTCAGAAAAAAACCAAACTTTTACCAGATCCCCCAGACTATACTATGACCCTAATCGATGGCACAATAGCCTCTTGCCCCCCATCTCCAATTCATAACCAACCCTCAGCCATGCCAACCCCTTAGGCTTGTCCTCATTCCCCCGTACCCTGGATCTCACTCTCATCCCTAACTGCAACTTCCAGTAATCAATCCCTCCTGTCGTTCAGGCCTCAGCTCCAATGTCACCTCCTCAAACAGGCCTTCACACCCACCAGCAACAGCAGTGATGGCCCACTCATCCCTCTAATACTTTGTTTTTGTTATCCTCATAGCAGTTATAGTTATCAGAATTTTTCTTATTTAAGTATTTAGCAGTTCTGTCTCTCTTGGTGAAGAAGTGGTTGAGTCAAACGAATAAATGAAGCTGGAGCAGGCCGGGCCTGAAGGCAGGGTTTTGGGCAGTGGTAGTGAGTAGAGGCCGTAGCAATTCCACTCCCTCCCTGGGGAAAGCGCCATTTTCTGTACACTGTCCTGATTTACTGTCACCAACCATGATCCTGGGTGGCCTGTGCCTGCTTACCAGAGACAGCTGCTCTCGGAGCTGGATGACCACTTGCTTGTGTGCTCCGGCCAGGGCAATGAAGTAGAACATGATGAGGCTGCAAGACAAGACGGACAGGCCAGGAGGGCTCTAGATCATCTGAGGGCCACTAGAAAAGTAACCCAGCACACTTCCAGAACAGATTTTCTTTTGTTGGAGAGGAAAAGGTAAGGGAAAAAAGGGAAGGGAAGAAAGGAAGGAGAACCTCACTTCCCCCATATAGAAGGGGCGAGAACCAACCAGTGGAGTGTTTTTATTAAGCAGTGCAGTGGTATCTGTTTTATCCCTTTTTAAGTTAATATGAAGGTTGTTGGGGTCTCCTGAGCACATGCAGAATAGCAGGGAGAAAGAAAGATGGTCCAGAAAGTCAGCTCTGTATGTTATTAACTGGCTGTGGGTAACCACTGAGCTGCCTCTCTGGCCTCAGTTTCTTCATTTTTGAAATGGAATATAGTAAAACCCAGTGATAGCAAGCCTGGGATAAGACAGTTTTGATTAAAAACAGGGAACAACTGGCTCCCATCTTCTGTGCGGCTCCAGATCTCAAATGGGATGTTTGGAGTTACCTTCAGTGATGGGCTCATGGAAGGCAAGTCCCCAGGAAAACAGCAGATACTCTCATTTAAAGAAAGGAAATCAGTTTCCTACTCCCAGATAAGACTGATGAAACACAGGTCAGGTAACCAGGAAATCCTCGAATCGCTGATCTCAATAACACCCTCTGGAATGTCCTTGCAAACCACAGGCCAGTAATGACTTCCAAAGACCCGAAATCAGATCAGCTAACTGGTTTAAGGGGTGCTGGCCAAACCATAGCTGTAGTGAACTGAAGAGAATGGATCAGCTAGAACCTTGGATCTCGGGAATTCCAGCCTGCCAAGCTGCATGGCTCCCCCAAGTCATTGTATTAATCTCAGCAAGGAATCCTGCACCCTTTCACAAGTAAAAAAAAAATTTTTTTTACCTACTTTTTGAATCATAGGTGTGTTTTACTCAACAAACATCTGCCTCATAGCATAACCGTGATGATTTCATGAGATAGTATTTGTTTTTTGTTGTTGTTGTTTTTTTGATACCAGGGATTGAACTCAGGTCCTTGTGCTTGCGCAGCAGGTGAAACCACTGAGCTAAATCCTTGGCCCTAACGAGATAGTATTTGTAAGGTACAATCAATTCCAGTTATTCACTGTTTATAAATGGTAGGGCTGAAGTTTAAATGCATGCTCTTAATCTGGTGCTCTTCTCTCTGCCTACTAATCTACTCCTTTTACAAAGAGCAACAATTTTGGAGAATCATCAATAATATTAAGAATAGGCAGGAAAGGCGTTGAAGGGAGGGGAAGGGAATGGGGAAAAAAAGAAGAATCAAAATACATTATGTACAGGCACAAATTCCCTATGATGAATATGCTTATTATATACATTAAAAGAGCACCAATAAAATTAATTTTTAAAAAGAATGGGTTTTTACAAATCAGACATGGGATGAAGTGACTTCCATATGTGATCCTTCTACTTGATGACCCTCTGGAAGAGGGGCCACTATTATGCCCACTTCTGAGAAGGGAAAATGAGGTTCAGAGTAGCTCAGTCACTTGCCACATTTAGCAGGTAACCTTGTCATCTTTTGGATCTGGAATGTCCCCTAAAGGCCCATGTGTTGAAGGCTTGGTCCCTAGCCCATGGCACTATTAGGAGGTAATGGAACCTTTTAAGAAGTGGGGTCTAGTAGAAGGATGTTATGTCATTGGTGGGAGGGAGTGGCATTGAAAGAGATATTGGGACCCTGGTCTTCTTTCTCTTTCACTTCCAAGTCACTATAAGGAGAACAGATTTCCACCACATGCTCCTAACACAACGTTTTGTGTTGCCACAGGACCAAAGCAACAGGGCCAAGCAACCATGGACTGAACCTCTGAAACTGTGACCCAAATAAACCTCTCCTCTTTTTAAGGTGATTATCTCAGGTATTTTGTGACAATGACAGAAAGCTGACTGACACACTCCATTTGCCTCAGTGGGAATTACACACTAGGGTCCAAGTAGTTCTTGGTGTCTTACCAGATGATCATGAAGAAAGGCACAGCAAACGCTTCTGACGTGATGCCATGAATCACAGACTGCAGTGAGCTGGGGAAGGTGGTCACAGTCTTGGGGATGACCTCCCAGGTAGTGTTGTAGTTGGTGAATGGCCCACAGGCTTTTGAGGAAGGGATGCTGCCAGGACATGGAACAAGGGACTCAGGGCCAGCATGCAGCACAGGATGAGGGTCCCACTTATGCACACCCAGAACATCTTGTTAACAGAGGCCTATGGGGAACCACCTGACTCCTGGGCCTTCTGGGATATTCTGGTCCAAAATACCCTAACATTTCATCAAGTCTCTAGGCCTAACTTCCAGTTTACAGGGCATTCAGGACAGAAGATCAAGTTAAATGAGATTGTTAGAAAACAATTAGGTAAGACTGGAATCCAGGGATTCTACAAAAGTGAGGGAAAATGGCCTGGATTCTTCAGAGGATCAAAGACTAAAAGAGACTAAAGAGACATAATTGCTGAAAGTTCAAAGACTGTTATTTTTAAAATAAAGCTAGAAAAGACTATTTGGGGACAACTGGAGAACTCTGAATATGGCAGGAATATGATGTTAATATTAAGTTTCTTAGTTGTGATAATGTTATTATGGAGGTGCATGAAGAGTGTCCTCTTATTGGGAGCTGCCTGCTGAAGTGTTTAGGGGTAAACACGGTGCCTACAATTTAATCTCACATAGTTCAGGGCTGGGGATGCAGCTCAGTGGTGGAGCATGTTCCTGCCATGCTCAAAGCCCTAGATTCAGTTCCCAGTACTGCAAAACACAACATACAAACAAAACTCCCAGAAAAACACACAATCAAATGGTCCATTACCCCCCCAAAAAGAAGATACTGCCAAATGTTAGTAACTGAGACATGTAGTTGAAGAGCATATGCATTTGTTGCTATTTGTTTCAACGTTTCCATACATTTTCTAAATAAAATAGCAGAGAAAATAAATTACAACAGAAAAACATTAAAAGTTAAGACTTGTAAAGGCCTGCCTAAGTTTAAGGAAATGAATGAACAACTGTGGTCCATTCATACCATGGGGTTAGAGAACTACTGTGACAGAAAAGAGACATAAGGACATGAGGAGCTGACTGTGTCCCAAAAGGAAACTAAGTACTTGGAAAATGGAGTTAGAAAATGAGCTTCTTACACTTTTTAAAATATTGTCCCATGTGAATACATTTCTTTCTTTCTTTTTCTTTTTTTTGGTACCAGGGATTGAACTCATGACCTTGCGCTTTTGAGGCAGGCACAGTGCCACTGAGCTAAATCCCTGGCCCTGCATTTCTTAATTTAAAAATCAAAGCCAGGGCTCGGGATTTAGCTCAGTAGTTCTGCCACCTGCCTCGCAAGTGCAAAGATCCGAGTTTGATCCCCGGTACCAAAAGAAATGAATAAGGTCTAAAAATCAAAGCCAAAAGTATATTTAAAAGAATGAGAGTTTTGTATGTGCTGGCAACCTTTTTTCTTAGTTGTATCCTTCTATACTATCTGAATTTTTTATATAACAGCCAGGCAAGGTAGCACATGCCTATAATCCTAGCACTCTGGGAAGCTGAGCCAGGAGGATCATAGGTTTAAGCTTGGCCTGGGTAACTTACTGACTTGGCAAAATTCTGTCTCAAAATCAAAAAAAAAATTTTTTTAAGGGGAGAGGGGGCTGAGGATGTAGCTCAGTGTGAAGGTCCTAGGTTTATTTCTTACTACAAAAATAAATTATTATAATATAAAAAAATCAATTTGAAAAACCCACATAGAATCAAACTTTAAATTTTTTTTAAAAACTGAGGGATTTAAACATTCAAACTTGAGATTTTAACACAAAGTTTGGCAAACTGTGTACCCTATAAGCCAAATCTGGCCTACCACCTGTTTCTTATAAATAAAGTTTTATTCAAAAACAGGGCTGGGGATTTAGCTCAGTGGTTCTGCTGCTTGCCTGGCAAGCACAAGGTCCTGAGTTCTATCCCTGGTACCAAAAAAAAAAAAAAAACAAAAACCAAACAAACAGTCATACCTCCTCCTTTATATACTGTCTTTGCTGTTCTCATGATACAGCAGAAGGAGTGGCTGCAGAATGAGCATCTTGGAAAGGTTAAATTATTTACTCTCTGGCCCTTATAGAGTTTGCTGGGTCCTTGGTGCAAGGAATTTATGCCCCAGGAAGTGGTATCCTCAAGGTTTCAACTCCCAACTTCTGATCCTTAAGTCTAGAGCATTTCTGCTCTCCCCTGAGTCCACACTCACTAGGCTCCACAGCCCTTGTGCCACATCTTCATTGTCTTCATGTCCCTAGCACCTAGCACAGTGCCTGGCACATACAAGTAAATGTTCCTCAACCGAACTGGCCAGAGTAAGGACAACTTCCTACCTCTTTCTGCTTTTTCCCTCAGTCTAAGTCTTCTACAATGACCATGTATCATTTTGATAATAAGAAATAAAGAATCAACCCAAAGGGAGACTAGAATGAAAGGTCCTCAGAAAAAGGGAATGAGGCTGGAAAGTCTCATCTGGTCCCCACTAAGACTACGACCTGCAGTCCCAAGTTCCCAAAGTGGACCAGGACACTCCAGCTCCTAGAGGGAAGCGCTGAGGGAAGGTGGGCCTGGCTAAGTCAAGAGGGACTCTGGGACCTCTGTGGGTGGGTGCAACATCAGGAGAAAAGCCAGAGAAGAATGTAACGGACCCGGACCCTTTAACACAAAAGAGGCACATGTCACAAAGCAACTAGACGTTCTAGAAAACACAAGTCATGTTTACCGGGACATGCTGATTGTCAGAGGTATAATTGCCAAGCACAGCCCGATCAGTAGCACCAGCAGGAAGAAGAAATTAGAATTGGACGCTCTGAACTGCCGTGGGGAAGGTCTGCAGGTATAAAGAAGACTCAACTAGGGAGAAAAGAAGAAAAAGGTTGAGAACTACGAGCACAGCTTGCAGCAGAGTAAATGAGCATAAGTATGCCTGACAATGGGAATGTCAATTGGTCTCATCTTTCTGGAGTATAGTCTAAGATATAGATCAAATGAATAATGTTTAATCCAGACTCCAGAAATGTATACTGGTGACATAATAAGAAAAATGGGCCGAGACACATGCAGGTAGATATCCGCTGTTGTAGCGGTTGTTTACAGGCAACAGCTGAAAGCAGTCTAAGTACCGTTGAGGGCTTCTTAAAGGTTAAAGGACACTCACACAATGGAATAGCAAACATCTCTTAAAAAGGACAAGGCAGGGCTGGGGATTTAGCTCAGTGGTTTAGCTGCCTGCTGCGCAAGCGCAAGGACCCGAGTTCAATGCCCAGTACCAAAAAAAAAAAGGACAAGTCAGTATTACTTACCCAAGTGGCACTGTGAGATGAACCTGGTAGATTTCAGAACTCTGTACACTGTGAACTCATTTAAATTTTTTAAAAAGTATTTGTTCTTTATAGGGCTTTAAATATATATACATGGTTCTATGACAATATATATCACATTAAGAGGTGTTCTGCTTGAAGTTTTTACAAGCATGCATTATTTTCCATATATGAAAAATAAATATTGCTATCAAAGGAAACAGAGACAAAGGAAATATAAGTGGAGAGGGAGAGAGGGGAAAGTAACAGCCTAAAGTTTCTCAATATTTTAAAAAGCTGCATTACTGGTTGGCACCAAGCTCTTCTGTATCCCACAGGAGCCAGAACAACTTGTGAGCTGGAGGGCTCTCGGAGCCCTGCCTGGGGGCTGCTGCAGGCTGGGCGGGAGTGAGTGTCCCGAGTGAGGCCAGTATCCACGACTCACTTCCCCCACACTGCCTTTCCCATGCTGTGTACTGGGAAATCACTGGCTGCCAGTATGTTCCGGAAAGGAGAAAATGAAGTTCCTACGAGCTCCCTCACATCAATCTGTCCTGTGATGATTCAGCCAACTGAAATTTCCAGATGAAGGCCTAAGAACATTCCAAGGCCAAAGTCTCCAGGTAGAAAGTTTCGCTCCAGTCAAGGCCCTGCTTACCAAGCTAGAGAGAAGGCTCTGGAGTGAGATCAACCTGTGTTCAACTCTCAGAGGTCGCCTGTGAGCTGCGTGGCCTGAAGCAGCCACTTAACATCTCTGAACTTCAGCTCTCTCCTTTATAAAATATGGTGCCTGTTCCAAGGCTGGGTATAAGCATCACATGATAATCTAGATAAAGCAGGACCTATCGTGTTATTATTACTGGCTCTTATTACCATTATTCTTTTTAATACTATCATTTCCGTTTTTGAACCACCAAGGCTTGACATAATAATAATAATAAATGTGGAGCTTGTTACCAAAGGCTCTCTGGAAGCAGGAAGGACATCACCGTGAGCATATCTGTATCCCTAAGTGCTTCACAATGAGCATATACTGGCTTTGCAACAAAGAAGACAGGTAAGTCCAGATGAACCAGGCATCTGCAGGCTGCTTCTCCCACACACTACTTAGTTTGGCACAACGGCTTGGCACTGGGAGCTGTTCAAGGGCCTGGAGCCTAGACAAATCACTGAGACCCAAAAATAACTGCATTGGCTCCAAAATCCAAAAGAAAAGTTACATAATAGAAAAGAGTAAATGTTTTGCCAGGTGCAGTGGTACACACCTAAAATTCTAGCTACCTAGCAGGCTGAGGCAAGAGGATCACAAGTTCAAGCCCAGTTTGAGATAATATAGTGAGACCCTATCTTCAGATAAAAAACAAAAAGGGCTCGGGGTTGGTGGTAGAGCATTGCCTATCTTGCACAAGCTCTGGATTTAATCCCCAGTACCACACAGAAAGAAAGGGAGGGAAGGATGGAAGGAAGGAAGGAAGGAGAGAAAAAGAAAAGAGAGAGAAAAAGGAGAAGAGGGAAGAAAGAAGCAAAAGTTTTGTAAAATATCAATAAAATACATGTCAGTTGAACTGAGACCCAGTTCTTAAGTTATAAAGATAAAAACATTAAAGTCACAGGAGCAAAATAATTCTTAACAAGGTCCTTAAATTAAGAAAAGAAAGCCAGGTGTGGTGGTGCATGCCTGTAATCCCAGCCCTCAGGATGCTGAGGCAGGAGGATTGCTGCAAGTTCGAGGCCAGCCTGGACTACATAGTGAGCTCAAGGATAGCCTGAACTACAGACCAAGACCCTGTCTCCAATAAAAAAAAAAGAAAGAAAGAAAAAGAAAAGAAAACTTGAGCCCAGTTTGGGCAATTTAGTGGCTTAATGAGGCCCTGTTTCAAAATCGTAAAAAATTTTAAAAAATGAAAACAGAACTGGAGATGTAGCTCAGTATAAAGGCCTTAGGTTCTATCTCTTTTTTTTTTTTTTTTTGGTACCGGGGATCGAACTCGGGACCTTGCGCTTGCAAGGCAGGTGCCGGAACCACTGAGCTAAATCCTCGGCCCGGGTTCAATCTCTAGTACAAAACAAAAGGTGACCATCCATTCTGTTTTTTCCAGAATAAATATGTGTTAAATGAGGGACGTCATTTGAGGGACCTCATGGAGGTGGGAGGGGCTCTGACACATGACTGTCTCGGGAGAAGGGGGGTCCAGGGATGTGCTCCCACTCTCCCCTCTGCTTACCTCCTTCACATAAAAGATGATAATGAACTTCAAGGTCGCAATTGCCGGGAGCAGGGGTGAGAAAAAGGCTCCGATCCAGCAAATGGTTTGCCCATACACTATCCCCAGCACGTTATCTGGGATGGCAAACTCCTGTTGTCCCCAGCACTGGATCAGCTTCCAGGAGGAGCAGTAGGTCACCAGGAGCCTGAAAACAAACCAGACCATTCTTACCTGGTTACAGATGTCTGCCAAGGCTGCAGAACTTCCCCACCATGTAAGGCCATATCCAGGGAAACTGGTTAGTCCTGTTTATAGTCTTACACAGAATATAGTGGACTCTGGAATCCTTAAGACCAGGATTTGAGCCTCAGATCCACAACGTGACATCCAAATCTATAAGCTCTTTGATTTCTCTGAGCCCTGTTTTTCTCATCTGGGGAACGGGGAGGGGGGTTATAATATAACCCACTTCAGAGTGGTGATGACCATAAATGATGCCGGAGGTCTCTGTATATTGGTTTGCCACTAGGCACAAAAAGTACTGTGCATCCACACAGAATAGAGCTTGCAACCACAATGGATGTACCATGATCCCACTGAAGGCAAAGAACACGTCTAACAAGACAGTGTGTCTACTTACATGTGTACTTGTGTAGATGTGTGTGTATATAGTTTTTGTTTGTTTTGCAGTACTGGTGATTCAACCCAGGGCCTTCACAGAGCTACATCCCCAAGTTTCAGAAGTTACCTGGGCTGGGCTGGAACTTGTAATCCTCCTGCCTCAGCCTCCCGGAGTGCATTTTTATACAGTATTGAAAGATGGTATGAACTGTCCCAAAGTGTCAGCACTGCTTACCTCTGAGGAATGGCATGGGACTAGACAGTCAGGGGGCACTGTAATGAAGAGAACTCCCACCAATATCCAGACTTGTACATTTGTTTAAATTCTACAGATTTGAAAATTTTAAATAGCACCTATTCATATCACATATGTGTATTTTTTGTTTCTTTTTTGATGTTTGTTTTTAACATTAATAATATTAAATACAGGCCTATGCCTGGATTATCTGCATGTGTGCGTAAAAACAGTCAAGGAGATGGGAGAATATCTAAACAACACAGTCACGACAGTCGAGATGGGAACAGTCAGTGTGTTGTTGAGTTGTGCACCATGGAATGTTCTTAGTGCTTTTATCTGTAGTAGCTCATTTAATTCTCACAAAGCTGCAAGATGGGTCATACGAGCATGAGCTACGCAGCTTGCCTAAGGTCACAGGACTAGCGAGGGGCAGTGCTGGGGCTTGAACCCAGACCAGGAAACAGCCTCCACTGCAGCCTGGTGGTCCACACCGACAGGGCATGGCTGTGCAGATGGCAGCTTCATGGGAAGCAGCACCGTTCTGCTCGTCATACCATCTTCAGAGGGGGCGTCAGTGGCTCGCTGGTTAGCGTGCTTTCCTGGGGCCTGAGGAATCCCCTAGCACTTGCTGGGGGTGGCAGTGATAGGAGCCCCCAGTCGGGAGCTGGGAAGTGAGAGGGAGAACCCTATACTTACTTTCTGGGGAAATCCACAAAGAGCGTCACAGCCAAGATGATGATGAAGTCGAAGATCATCAGCTTGTACATTTCCTGCCCAACCTGGGTCTCCCAGCACTGAAACCAAAGAGGGTGAGAGGCAACAAGACCCTTCCTTTTGGGCAAAGGAAGCCAGGCTCCTAGATCCCTTCCTATGCCCTTGCCATCTCTGCATCTGCTGCCTGAGCTCCAGCACAGACCAGCATTCAGGCTGAGGCCCACCTCCTAGCTAGAGCTAGAAAGAGCTCCCAGTGGGCCGGGGATTTAGCTCAGTGGTTCTGGTGCCTGCCTCGTAAGTGCAAGGTCCCGAGTTCGATCGTCGGTACCAAAAAAAAAAAGAAAGAGGTGCCAGTGAGAATCCCACGCTGTCTTGACCACGACACTGTCACCAGATGCGCCCCTCCACCCCAGCGGCTTACCGGGTAGAGCTTCTGGTTGTAGCCACAGAGTTCACATGTGTTGTCATCACAGGATGTGATCTCGGAGCCCAGCGTGAATACCAGCACACAGATGGTGGCCAGCCGCATAAATACGCACCTTCAGGGAAGAGAGGAAAAGGGAGAAGGAGAGGAAGCTGTCAGTGCTGGCCAGCCCCTCCCAGCACCTAGAGCTTCCGTTAAGGACGATGAGACAGTCCTGGAGACAATGGTGGTGATGGTTGCATATCAGTGATAATGACCTCAATGCCACTGAAATGCACTTCCAAATGATTAAATTGCCAGGTGTGGTGAGGCACACCTGTAATCCCAGCACTCAGGAGGCTGAGGCAGGAGGACTGCACAAGTTCAAGTCCAGCCTGAACTACACAGGAAGACACTGTCTCAAAACAACAACAACAACAAAGATTAAAATAATAATTTTAGGTTACGTATCAAAATTTATGGTGAATGTTTACATTTTTAAAATTTTATAAAAGACATCACCATTAATCCTTCTCAAAATAGCCCTCCCCCCATTTTGAACACACTTATCCCATCATTCTTGCAACTTTCTGAAGCAGTTTTGGAAGTCTTTCCTCTTTCATCAATGTCTTTACGAAGTATGACCAAAAATACTGTGAACACTGCTGCCATGTGCCATCCAATAGAAAGGCAGCCTTGTAAAGACTTCAGTGTGTCCTCATCCACCTTATTCATCACAGTGTATGGCCTGGTGCAACTTCTGGCTCTTCCCCAGTCAAAAGTGACCATAACAGGTAAACATTTTGAATCTATTCAAGACACTGAGATAGCCACGACAGAGCAACTGAGGACACTCACAAACGAGGACTTCCGGAGGGGGGAACAATGGGATCAGTGTATTTGAAGCAGGGGAGTACTATGAGGGAGCAATGATCATGTGTCATGTACTGTGATAAACTGTTTAAACTTTCACCATCGTCTTCAATTACACTTCATGTTTTAGTTTTTTTGAAAGCAGAAAGGATCAGAAAGCTGGGATTCTTAATGCTGTGACAATGCAATCTGCGCACTTTTCTCCTTCCTACGCACACACCACCTGACACAGTGTGCCTCCTGACGGGGGGACAACAGGTGGGAACACAGCGCACTACTGACGAGGTTTCCACAGCAAAAAACTGAAATGGAACCTAACCAGAACTCTGAATCCACATGGTAGTTTACAGTGACTGTGGCTACAGATAAAACAAACACACCATGAACAAACAACAGACTGAGTCCAGAATAGGGGACATGCTACAGAACAAAGGACCCAGTTACTGCTACAGTGACCTAACAAAAGGGAAAGAAGGAATTCTTTAAAAAACAAACGGAGGGAGGAGGTGGGAGGGAGGTGAGGAAACGGGATGAAAGAAGAATGCAGATGTGTTATATCCACATGCCAGCTCCCCTGGAGGAATGCAACCATTAGGTACTGCCAATGTGCATTAATAAGTAAAAAGGGAAAACAGGACAGCCTGTAGATGATAAAGTAAATGCAATATGCTAAAGAAAAACCCAGAATTTTAACATGGAAAAAGAAAGAATAAAAGGGGCTTTTGTAACACACCAATGCAGCATGTGGACCTCATGTGGATCCCAATTTGAACAAGCCATCTGCCACTCTATCAGGGAGACTGACGCCACCTCAGGAGGTGTCATATGTTCATGTTAAAACAAGTCCTCGTTACCTGGAAAGAGGGTGACGGGAGAAATGACATGTTGTCTGGGATTTGCTTAAAATAATCTAGCAGAAGTGAGAGGAATGGATGAAACAAGATGGGCAAGCCAGATACGGTGGTTCACACCTGGCAGGCTGAGGCAGGAGGATGGCAAGTTTGAGCCCAGCCCGGGCAACTTAGTGACTTAGCAAGACCGTTTTAAAATTTAAAAAAAAATTTAACAAGCTATGGTGCAGCTCAGTGCCAAGGCCCTGTATTCAATCCCTATTATCAAAGGGGGGGGGGTTATGTTTGGAATGGTTGAAATCAAATGATGAACACGTGAAGATTCACCAGATCATTCATTCTGTTTGAACATTTCTGAAACACAAAGTTTTTTGGTTTTTTTGTATCTCAGGTGGAAACACAATCTCAGGTACTGGAGAAGCACAGTGAAAATTCTCCCATTCCACATAGCCCACTCCTGGCCCTCTTCACTCATTTGTATGAACTCACTGGGCTCCACCTTACACCTGTCAATTCTGACATCTTCACAGCAACACCTCCTCCTAGAATCCAACCCTAGCCTTAGCTACTACAGGAACTAAAAGTGTGACATGCGCGAGAGGACTCTGAAGTCAAAGAGATTACACTGCATGTACAAATTCTGATTCCTTCTCCAATGGTGAAGGAGGAGTCTCAACCGAGCAGGAAAATGCGCACAACTGATTAGCAATGACTTGGGCCATGGGCAGGTGGTGATCTGCAGTTAGGCCTCACCTAAGAATTGTCAGCCGGATCTCAAAGCCTGGCGAGTAATCCTCATAGTGGATGATCTTGGCAAAGATGATCGGGGTGATAAAATTGGCCAATGTGATCACAATGGACGGGAGGTACAGTATCAACAGGTTCTCTCCAAAAACCATCTTGTCAATTTCCTAGGGAAATGGCAACACAAACTGAACTGAAAAAAGAATTCAACAATGCATATTTGGCAAACAAAATATGTTTGTCATTCAACATAGCCTATAAACATAAAGCCATTTCCTTCCTTACATGAGCAAACAGATACCTAGAATCTTGCTGAAAGAAAAATGAACTCTTAAGGCAAAGCATTAAAAAAAATCCCACACATTCCCATGTATGAATGAGAAAATTACTTTCAAGGATGTACTGGTGATGATTTGTAATAGCTTTTCTCTCCTTCTTTCAAAGTAACAGGTCACGCAGCTATGATATAGCTAGGATAAAAAAATTTCTTAGGGGCCGGGGATTTAGCTCAGTGGTTTCGCCACCTGCTGCACAAGCATAAGGATGGGTACCAAAAAAAAAAAAAAAAAGTCTTAGCCTTCTTGTAGGAAGGTAGAGTCGTGTAACTAAATTCTGGCCAAGGGGAGATGAGTAGAAGTTTTAAGTACAGGTCATGTTCTTTAAAGGGAGGAGAGGTGTTCTACTCAAACCTTTCATCTTCCCTTTGGCTAGAATGTAGATGTGGCAGTGAGCTATTTTGTACCACACAGAGAAGAGCCACACCCTATGAGTGGCAGAGCCACAAGACAGATGGAACCTGGGCCCTGATGATTAAATTCATGAAACAAACCCACTAGATTAACTTGGATTTTTAAAATCACTGCTATTTTAGGTAAACTAAGACATTGGCTAGAAAGTAGAGGAGTCAGGGATAAAAATGCAGTCTAGCCTCAATTTGAATATTGTACATTCCAGTAAGAATACATATTTCAAAAGCTTTCTAAAATTTCTCTTAAAAGTGGAAATTTGATCACCTCTGATTTTTAGTTCTGTCATATCAGTCAAACTTATACCCCCACATATATTCAAAAATGATGACAATATCTATTATCACTCTATTTTACAATACATTTAACATAACAACCAACCAGAGTCCAAGTTGAATTTGCTGTCAAGGCATACTTACTTTTTTCATGTGTCCTTGTGAGAAGGTGGTTGCTAAATAGATTGCATAAAAGCATGCAGCTAAAACAGCTAAAACAATGCAGTTCAAAAACAGTCTCAGAGAATAAATCCGTATTGTTTCCTCTGAGGTCCTTTGTGCTATTTTCTGCCGTATTCTCTCTTCTTCCAGATCTGCCTGAGGATCAAAGAAAATACATTTGTGAGCACTGAAATGGAGTTTTGAGGGATAAAACCTATGCTACCCTCCGCATCCATCTTTAAGACCTCCTTTAAATATTCCTGTCACCCAAGACACCTTCCCACACTAAGCCCAACAGTTTTTATGTCTACTAAGGGCACTAAAGCATTGATTTATTCATACAAATAGATAGTTTCTTGAAACAGCATGTAAGGAGATGTTATTTTTTAACCCCAGCTGGTAGTCTCTGCTTTTTCATGGGGAGATATGATCTGTTCATATTCAGTGCAAGAAACAGCACATTTATTTGATTCCGCCCCCCCTTACCTTATTAAGCTTTCCATTTACTTGTTCCTGTCCCCTTCTTCCTTTTTTTCGGGGGGGGGGGGTGCTGACCAAGATGCTACTTATTACTCCTTTCCTCCTTATTAATTTAGAGATTTTCTTGTACTTTTTTATGTTCTTTCCACTTTATCGTATAATAGCATTCCCTCTTTAGTCCAATTTCTCCAGTACAAGCAATGTCTATGACAGTTCTTATCAAGTGAGAACATGACAGTGCAAGACAGAACCAGGTGGAGAAAAGACACTATCTTCTCCCATCCACCTGTGTCCCCACCTTGGGTTCAAGGTCATCAACTCAAATAAACCCCACAAAGGTCTTAAAAACAACATAGGAGATGCTTGCTGAGCACAAGCAAGCCTGCACAAGCTGTGTACCTGGCTTCCCGAAGCATGACCCGGCTGGGAGAACCCCACAGGAAAACCCAGCTGCACTCACTCGGAGCTCGTACCGCAAGCTGCTGTGCTTCAGGTCAGCCATGCTGCGGCTGGTAATGCAGAAGTCCCAGCCAGCAAAGATCTTGTTGCAGTAACTCTGGAAGTGCTCCTCACTCCGAATCAGGTTGACTTTAAACCCTTCCACTGACCTGGCCCCAAAACACAAGAATCCTTCTGGTATCAGCAACAGCAAAATACACCTCCATGACCTGGCTTCATCTAAAATCTGAGACGATGCTCAGATGTATGTATGGCACATTCTGGCATGATCAAATTTTGGACCATTCTATGTATGTGGCAGTTAGCCAGGTATCTCATTGTTGAAAATCACTTCTGTTTATCTAATCATTTCTATCCTAACTGGAATAAAACCAAGACTATTTTAATATAAAGTGAGATACCACATGATCTAGCTCTGTCCAATCTCCTCCCATATAGCCACTCTGCTATAACTGTAAAAGCTTCCACGCCTTTCCATAAACCTACAAATCCCTGCTTCTGCCTTAGGGGCTTTGTACTTGACTGTTTTCACTACTCTCTCCAGGTACGGTTCTCCCCCTGACTCTCCTCATGGCTGGCTCCTTGCCTTCTGCTACAGGAGTCTCCCCTCAAAAGCCCATGGGTTGAAGGCTTGGTCCCCAGCCAAGGCACGTTGGAATGTGATGGACACTTAAAAAGGTGGGGCCTAGTAGAAGGAAGTAAGGTCAATGGGGGCATGCTCTTGAAAGGGATATTGAGGATCTGGCCTCTTCCTCTTGTTCTCTGTTTCCTGGCTGCCATGAGGCAAGCAGTGCCTCTGCCATGCACTCCTACCATGATTTACTATACTGCCACAGCCCCAGAGTCACAGGGCCCAGGGACCATGAACTGAAACCTCTAACAACATAAGCCCAATAAACCTTTCCTCTTTTTAAGTAAACTATCTTATGTATTTTGTCACAGTAACAGAATCAATACACCATCCTTCAGATTTCAGCTCCAGGATCTCTAGGATTCCTCATCTCCCCATCTAAAGTTGTAACCCCTACTTCAAATCAGTCCCTTTACTTTGACAGTGATGAACCTACTCTGAAATCATCTCATTTATCCATTTATTGCTTCGAGCCTCTCACTCTGACTATAGTATAAATTCCTTGAGGCTGACAGGTTCCCACCTTGGTTATCTTGCCACTTTTATATGCACAATGCCTGGAACACACTTTGCTCAACCAGTGGATAAATGCATGAATAAATGACTGAAATAGTAAATGAAACAAACGTTTAGTGAGCACCTGTTCAGGCAAGATGCAACTCCTGCATATTTCACAATTTTTATCCAATCAACTGCATTCATGGAAAATACACCCTGGCATTGATGATATAAAAACATCAAATGTCACACCCGGGCCTCTAGATGAAACAGGTTATTTTTGGAATTTGCTAGGGAGGGATGAGGACAGTAGAAGGGAAAGGAATACTGTGATCCACCTATTCTGTCAGAGGATCACAGCAAATAATGTACATCAAAACCACTTGAGATGCTTTCCAAAAAGTGTACATTCCTAAATGATTTCACACCCTAAGCTGTTTAATTCAGTCAGTCTCATGTGGGGTACAGAAATACAAGTTTTACTATGTTTGGGTCATCTTACTTTGTGTGATAGTTGTTCATCAATGTTATTAAAGGAACTAATGTTTCTGTCTGTATTAACTTTCCATTGCTCTGACAACATCCCTGAGATAATCAATTTAAAAGGAGGAAAGATTTATTGAGGCCCAGGGCCTGAAATTTAAGACACCCCCCCCCTTGCTTTGGATCTGGGGTGAGGTAGACTATGATGAGGAAAGCTGCTCACCTCATGGCAGCCAGCAAGCAGAAAGAGAGAGGGTCAGGAACATATTCCCTTCAGGACACATCCCCACTAGGCCCCACCTCCCAACAGTGCTACAGGCTGGTGACCGAGCCTTTAGCACATGGCCTTTGGGGTACATTTCAGGTCCAAACCATAAATCTCTCTTTTTCTTGGAAACTGCCCTCTCTCACCAAACTACTTGGAAAATTCCAGGTTGTCCTATGACCCTAACCCCCTGGCTATAGATGATGAGCCCGAGGACTGGGCACTCAAATCAACAGGGCTTATCACAGACAGTCTGCTGCCCATGGCCACCGCTGAAGGGCCCAGACTGGGCCCCTGAATGAACAAGTCTCTTCAAAGCATTTCTGTACCTGTCACCCAGGGAGTCATGGGTTGATGGCAACTTCTCAAGATGCCTTATTTCTCACCACTTAAGAAAGCTGCCAGCACACTAGAAACTCAAAGATATAGGAGCCCTTGCTTTTGCTATTATTCCTAACCCATAGCTATTTCTCTGTCCTTCTGTAACTGATTTTCCTCCTTTCCTTTGTTCCATGCTCCACTCAGTTCCCCTTTGTTGCAGTTACCAAGAGTTGGTTTTCTGCCACTTGCAATCCAATGGATAACTAATTAACATACACACCGAAGCAAAGATAAGGGTGTTAGACAAAATGGCCGCGGGAAGGTCTGTTACTCAAAATGGCCCCCGCTTTTTGGAAACAGGTCATTTCCTCTCTGAGAAAGCAGAACTGAACACGCCACCCCACCTCACTATTCATCCACCAATAGTTTAAACTCCATTACCTGCCCCAGGAATACAATCAATCCTCAACCCCCATGATGCTCTCCCACCACACAACCCTTTATAAACCTCACCCAGTTAGTCAGTCTCTCTCTCTCTCTCTCTCTCTCTCTCTCTCTCTCTCTCTCTCTCTCTCTCCATTGTTTGAGACAGCCCAGCAGCTCCTGCCCCCAATAAAGCCCTGCCTCGGGTGCTCCTGTTTCAGCTCAATTTCTTTCAAAGGGGTGCTGAGGAAGGGTGTGGAATTGCCAGACATGTTCAACAACAATTGACTGAAGAACTCCAGGGGCTACTCCAGCTCCCAACCCTGACTTCAGTACCCTCCAGGTCTTTTCAGTTGCCAATGCACTCAATAAACCTTTTCCTCACTAAGCCCACCCAGGCTTATCCTTTGGGCAATGGTTTCAGACCCAACACAGTTCCAAGAGACTCGAGGCATCAGGAGTAAGTCAAGGAGTACGCAATGACAAGATACACTTACCTTTTCACTATCCAAAGGAGGCTCAGGACCAGATAGGCAATTGTGCTTATCAAATAAGCCAGGGGTAGATCATAGGTGAAGTTCTGAAATTTTATGCCATCAATGGTGTAATGTCCATAAAAGAGACTGGTCTCCTCCAGGAAGCCCTGAAACAAATCATGGGCATGAACTTAGTGAGGTCAGCTCAGTGCAGGTAACTAGAAGAGTAGTTTCTGCCTCAAGAAACTCACATAGCAATAACTCTATTCATCACTGTATCCCTAGATACCAGAATAGCCCCAGAGAAACGGGCTATACCTGAGCATTAAAATACTCAAGTGAATCATCCAAAATTGAAATTAGGGAAATAGTTCCATGTGCCATCACATCAAAAATAATAAGACTTGGGAATAAATTTAACACAAGAAGTGTAAATCTTATACTTGGAAAACTAACAGGAAAATATCCCATGTCCATGGATAAGGAGCTCCGTGGCCACACTCCCCACAAGGACCTACAGATTCAGCACAGTCCTTACCATCCCAGCTGGCTTCTTTGTAGAAACTGAAAAGCTGATCTTAAAGTCTCTTGGAATTTCAAGGGGCCCAGAATAGCCAAAATGACTGTATAAAAGAACAAAGTTGGACGACTCACATGTTCCAAAGTCAAAATTTACTATAAAAGCAACAGTAATCAAGACAATGTATTCGCAAAATAATAGACATATACAAAGATGGTATAGAACTGAGAGTCCAGAAATGAACCAATGTATCATCTATGGTCAGTTAATATTTAATATAGGGAAAGAATACTGTTTTCAATAAATCATATTCAGACAACCAGATGGCCACATGCAAAAGAATGAGTTGAACTTCAGCCTCACAACATATATAAATATTAGCTTAAAATGGATCAAAGACTTACATATATAACCCAAAACAATAAAATGCTTAGAAGAAAAGAAGGCTAAATCTTCAAAATCTGAACAAAATGTGGAATACACATAGAATCAAATATAACTCAGACTTAAAAAGGAAGGGATTCTGGTCACACATTATAGCATGAATAAAAACCCCATCTGCTTTCAGTGAGACCTTGGGTGAGCCACTGACTTTTGCATAACTTCCATTTTCTTATTTGCACACCAACAATTCCTCTGAGTTGTTCTGAAGAAAATATGAGCTTAGAGATATAAAAATACTTTTTCAAAATCAAATGCAGTGGACAAATTCAAGGCTTTCTACTTATCTATCAGAAAAATCTAAGTTCAATAGCATGCTATGTTATATTAGTAACTTTCAGAAATGTAGTCTTATATACAGGTTGAATACCACTTATGTGAAATCGAGACCAGAAAAATTTCCGAATTCAGAGTTTTTCAGAATTGGAAATATTTGCATAGACTTCACCAGTCAAGCAGCCCTAATGTGAAAATCCAAAATGCTCCCAAATCAGATTCTAGATTTTCAGATTAGATATGCCCAGTGTTCACATGTATGTATGAAATAGCTAGAGTGGTAGTTCTCAACCAGGGGCACTTTTATCCCCCGGGGAACATTTGGCACTGTCTGAAGACATTTTTCGAAGTCTTAACTGGGGGGCCTACTACTGGCATCCAGACTGTAGGGACCAGGGATGCTGCTCAGCCTCCTGGAATGCAGAGGACAGCACCCACCATAAACAATGCCCTGGACCACAATATAATAGTGCTCAAGTTGGTAAATTTTTATGGGACTGTAGTGACGGTAGGTTTTCGTAACTGTAATCTATTATTTTCTGGGGGAAAAAAAGAGGATTAAAAAACACACAGAGAGGCAGGCACCCATTGTAATCCCAGAACTCTGGAAGGATCACAAATTTGATTCCAGCCTAGTCAATTTAGCAACTTAACAAGACCCTGTCTCAAAATAAATAAAAGGATTGGGAATATAGTTCAGTGCAAATGCCAAGTTCCATCCCCAGAATGGAAAAAAAAAAAAGTGCACACACACAGAACTATTTTTATTTTTATTTTTATTTTTTTGGTACCGGGGATCAAACTCAGGACCTTGCACTTTCAAGGCAGGTGCAGCACTGCTGAGCTAAATCCCCAGCCTACACAGAACTATTTTTAGATGAAGATTAAAAAACCATTTAGAATAACTGTAAGAATAACAATTATTCCACTTTGAAGCAGAGGGTGTTAACCTGAGATTAGCAGATCTGGGAAGGATTTCAAGGAACCTGTATATGTCTAGGTACATGTGTGGTGTGCACATGAGCACGGGCATACATATGTGAGCACGTGTACGATGACTCTGTGCATCACGGGGGTCTCCATGTGTAATCTCTGCCTAGAGGAGCCAGTCTTCATCCATGTGGCCTAGGGTTTTCAGTAAGAGAGAGAAGGACACTAATTCTGTCCTAGCTCATCCTCACTGACACTTCTTTCTGTGGGACCCTCGGTATTGTGTTGCACGCCAATATGCAGTTGGCAGGGACCAGGCAAAGCCCCATGGCGGAAGGCGGCAAAGCCTGTTTCCTGCACATGCCTGTGGGAGGAGAGGGGCAGCCTTCTCCTTGCTGATGAGTAAGCGCCAATCTTTTTGGTTTTCCTGGTTCGCATGTCAGCACTTGCGTTTAGCTCTCACTGCAGACACTCATGGCACTGATCTTTAAACGAACCAACTTTCAGTATTTTGCAGGTCCAAACAAAGAATTAGATTAAATACTTACACTGCCAGAAAGCAGGTCTATGATATAACTGTAAAAGTAGATGAGTCCAGAAGTGCTTACTGGATGTATTGTACATTGCATATCTGCAAGAAACACAGTAAGACATCTGTTGGAAACAGTCTAATAGTTTCTGTAACTTGTCTCACAGTTTTGTATATAGGCATACAACTATATTCATTTAAATATGTCTCATATATTTGCATATTTGTACATGGAAGTGTCTGTGTATTTGTGATTTTCTATTTTTCTATTTCTAAGCCCCAGTGTGTTTAAGTACCGAGGTATTTCCTTCACTATTCTCCCTGAGCACTTGGGGATATGTATCCTCTCTGTACATTTTGTGGGTGGGGCCTTATTTTTGGCTTGTATATGTGCCTTAGGGTTCATGTTTGCATACGATTTGAGGTCTGTGATTGTTGTACTAATTGTTATTGTCCCATTTTTAAATTTTTTATTTTGAGACGAGATCTTGTGAAGTTTCTAAGTTGCCCAAGCTGGGCTCAAATTGTGATCCACTTGCCTCAGCCTCCCAGAATGCTGGAATTACAAGCATGCACTACACACCTGGCTTATTATCCCACTTTTAATATAGATGGATCTCTACATGTGTGCAAATAACCACTGAATTTCATTTAGAAATACATGTTTACATATGTATAACTATTTAAAAAAATTTAAACACTAACTTTAGTGATGCTACTTTAATCTTGGATTACTGACTTTTGATCTTTATCAGTCAGCTACTACTGTGCAACAAACAATCTCCAAGCCTCAGGGACTGAAAAGACCAGACGCTATTTTCTCACTCCTGGGCCCGAAGCTTGATCAGTCTGAGCCATGAGAGAGCCTGGGATTCCAACTGGACGCAGGTCTGTCCCACACGGTCTCAGTCTGGTCTAGGCTGCATGGGCAGTGGTCACCTAGGCCACACTCTTCTCATGGCAGACACAGGGGCACAACAGATGAGCCAATCACAAACAGGCATTTCACACAAACACTTCACCGGACAAAACAAGCCACATAGCCAAGCTCAATGTCAATGGGACAGGAAGTATCCTCCGTCCACAGTGGGAGTCACTGTAAAGTCACAATTCCAGGGAATTGATAAAGTGAGTAAAATAACCTAACCTATTCCCCTCCTTTGGGCTTTTATTTCCCTATTTAAATAAAGCATTGAAGCCAGCTGTGGTGGTGCACACCTGTAATGCCAGCACTTGGGAGGCTGAGGTAGGAGGATCACCAGGAGTTTGAGGCCAGCCTGGGCTACATAGTGAGTTCAAAGCCAGTCTGAACTACATAGCAAGACCCTGTCTCCAAAATAAATTAAAAAATAAATAGATAGACAGACAGTTGAATCAGTTGCCCCAAGGCAAATTCTAGTTCTGCTATTTTATAATTCTATTCGTTTATTTATTCAACAAACATTTCTTTGTCACTATGTACCAGATAGATGTTGGGGATTAAAAAGCGAATGAGTCATTTCTTGTCCTTGAAAAGCAAGTGACATCAAGTGGCAGATGAAGGACAGTGTCACTTAAGTTTATATAAAGTGTTCAAATGGTTGCACATTTGTAGTGTAATGATGTAGTAAAGCAGTAATGCAGACAAAGCAGAGAGAGACAACCGTTCTCATCTGAGAGCAACCAGGAAGATGGACTGAGATCCCTGCCACCCTTCCTCTTACTCTGCTGCAGCCTAGAGGTCAGTAGACGATGAAGCATGGGCCAAATCTGGTGAACTCCTAGCCTGGGATTCAGAGGTACTCAACAGATGTCTGTAGAATGACTGAAACTCTTCCTGGCTAGCAAAGAGGATCCCCAAAACACCTGACCTGTGTTGAGAATTCAGTAAGAAAACACATCCAGCACTTGCCATAGTATCCAGCATGTGACTGGTGTTGAATAAGTAGCCTTGAACTTCATCCTTGTCAGTGAAAAAAACCTCAAAATGAAGTTACAGGGTAGACTGTTATGTTTGCTCCTCCCAAATGAATGAACACAAGAGTGGCCAAGTATCTTGCTTTGGCTAACAAGATGTGGCAGAAATAGGGCTGTGTGTCACCTCTAGGCAGAAGGGTCAGAAGGCAGCACACACTGGCCATGGTTCTTTTTTGTGCAGGTCACAATGACTATCAAGAGTCCAGCTAGCGGCTGCCCCACAAGCTTTGGCTCCAGAGTGAAGACCACTAGCTCATGATGAATATGGACCGGGAGTAACAAATAAACCTTTGCAGTTATTAGACACTGAGGGTTGTGGGATCATTCATTTCTGCAGCATAACCTAGCTCATCCTGACTAATACAGTAACCTGACACTTAGAACGAAGATGCTTAGCAAAGAAAGCATTGTAGTGAGGAACAGAGTGAAAAGAACATGCAGCAAGTAAACAAGGCCATAAACGTACCCATGTCTTTCAGTGGAATGAGCACAAAGGTGCTGTTGGTGAATTTGTAGCTGGTGAGCAAAACTGGGAGCAAAACCAACACAAAGATGATCAGAAATATCACCAAATTCAGCAACACCAGGAACCTCAAGAAGGAGAAATAGGACTGGATCCCAGTGCCAAATTTCCCTAGAAAAAAGAAATTTGGACATCACTGACCAGGAGTATTTACCTGCTACACACTGTACATTCAGCCATAGAAAGCTGAAACATTTTTTTTCTACTGTTGGCTATAAAGCTCTATTTGCTAATGGTTTAACATTTCATATGTAGATCCACAATCAATTCTGAACTAATCAATTGAGAATGGTCCTGGGGGCTCCATATATATTAATTTCCATATAAATATTCAACTGTCTCAACACCATTCATTGATTTCCATCCTCCCCTCCTCCCCTTTATCAGGAAAAAAATATATGTATGTGTTCATAATTGAGATCCTGTTCCCTGGGTCTACTTGTCTCTCCTTACACCAACACTAAACTGTTATGATTATTGCATATTTATAACAAGATTTGATACACGTTACTATACATCTCTCTGATTGGGATTATAGGTCAATTTGAGAAGTGACATCTATATAATAGTCTTCCAAGCCATGAACATGATATATTTAGGTCTTCTTTTGCATCAATAATATTTTAGTTTTCTGTGCGTAATTGTTATATATTTTCCTTTAGGTAAATTCTTGGTATGTGATTTTTAAAATTATATTATAAATTATATTATGAAATTTTCATTTTTTTACATTTGTCACTGTTATAGAAATAACTCTAATATTTCATCTTTTTATTTCTTACATACTTACCATGTCATCTCCAAAAGAGAGGACATTTTATTTCTTGCTTTCCAATTCTTGTCCCTTTTTACCTCATCATACTGTACTGGCCAAGACTTCCAGGATGACGCTGAGTAGAATCTGTGATGTTAACATCTTTTCCTCATTCTCGATCTCAGAGGAAAAGTTTTCAATATTTCTATTAAATATGTTTGGTACAGAATTTTTATGGATTTTAAAGATTAAATCAAGAAAGGTCCCACCTATTTCTTGTTGGCTAAGAATGAGAACTATAGTTTATTGATGCTTTTTCTGCCTCTTGTCGGATGAGCAGTTTTTCTCCTTTATTCTGATCATGTGGTAAATTACATTGATTTTCAAATAGAAAACCAGCCTTCTACCGGGTAATGGTAAAATTGCTGAGGACAGTCAGAAAGCATTCTAAGTGGTACTTGTTCCTGGCAGGGCAAAGAATTGATCTTCTGAAGATGAAGATACCCACAATCTTTGCCTCTAACACTCCACAACCCTTCCAGAGACAGTGAACTTGATTATCACACCTTTACTTCCTGCCAGAAGACTAACCATCTTGCCAAGAAATCACAGAGGTAGAATAACAAAAGAGGAAATCAAAGTCTCTGTTGCCCAGGGAGAACCTATCCTCTACCGTACAGACCATTTTCTGATGAAAATCTCCAGAAAGCTGCCAATTAACCAGAGAGGATGCTGGGCAGTGACCAAAACTTTGGCCAGGAAGCTTGACTGCCTGGGTTCATTTTGGGTAAGTGAATTTGGACAAATAACTTCGCTCAGCCAGGCAAACAATACACATCTATATAAAAGGTTATTGTGAAGACTAAGATCGTAGGAGTAAAACTCTTGACACAATGGCTGGTTCGTAGATGTATAATGAAGATTATTAATGTTTATTACTTTACTCCAAACACGCTATGCTTAAATTTCATACCGAAAAGTATGGGTGTGTGGTTAAAGTTTTAAGTGAGCCTGTGAAATCCTTAGAAATTTTTTTACATTCTGCATATAAAACACTAAAAAGCTAGTGGATTGAACAGATTACTGGTGGTAGTTTATATTTTTAAATAGTATTAATGAAGATAATAATTTCTTCCACTTATCACGCCACATTACTTAAAAACTTTACAAATCATTTCAATTTTAGCAATTTTGAGGCAGTGCTTATAAACTTTTTTTGCTTTACAGGAGAAAATGTGTAATTCTAGGAGGTATCTCCCCACTGACTCTGTTGTATCTCCCAAATATTTAATATTTCTATTTCTATAATTTCACACAACTTCCAATTTCTGTGGACTGAAAGCCCTTCCCCCCCAGCTCTGTTGAAGCCATAACCCCAAATGTGATGGCATTCGGAGAGGGGACTTGGGGAGCTGATTAGGTAGACGGGGTCATGAGGACAGGGTCCCCATGATGGGGTTAGTGTCCTCATAAGAGGACTCACAGAGGCCCTGTGTTCCTCCTCTCCCTTTCTTTCCCTGTTTGCAGCACTGGGGATCAAACCCAGGGCCTCAGGCAGTCTAAGCAAGCACTTTACCACAGAGCTACACCCGCAGCCCCCAAATCTATTTCCTAGGCCACCCAGACGATGGTGCTTAGTTGTGGCAGCCCGAGCTGACCAATTCTGTATCCCAAATTCATGCCATTATGGGAAAACAGAGATTCTCAGTATTTTCATAGCCATGGGCACCTTTGACAGTCTGATGCAGTCTGATGTGAGCTGTGACCCCAGCTCATAATAATGTTGTATGTAAGGAAATATATAATAACATAATATATGAAATATAAGCAGAGGTTTAATTACAATATTAAAAACAGAGCTGTAATGGAATAACATAGAAATATCTTTGTTAACAATTTAATAAATAAGATCTATTGGCAGGGTCTAAAAACTGAAAACTATATAAATGTCATGGTTCCAAGACAACAATACCAAGCACAGGAACAATCTGACTTTTCCTGGTGACAAAGACACAGGTTCTGCTAAGCCTAAGTGTGGGCTGCTGCTCAATTTCACCAACAAAAGAAATGGTCGATCTCAGCTAGTGCTCGGGGGAAATGAGACTGCGCAGTCCCCACGTCCAGAGGCGTCAGCCCAGGGACAGCACAGTGCAGGCTGTGCTACCTTCTATGCTGCGAATGTCCTCCCTCCACAGCTCCAGATGCCTGGTCACCTCACGAGCCTTCTCCGAGAACCTCTTCCACGACTTGCTGCTGTACTGTTTCCACTGGTCCCACTCCGATAAATACTTCATTTGGGTCTCTTGAATGGCCCTGCATTTAAAAAGAACCATGACAATGACAACAGGATCATCATTCAAACTCACCATCAAATAAAACTCAAGCCATGAGCCCTCAGACATGGGTGCCAGGATGCAAACTGGTGCAGCCACTGTGGAAAACGCGTGGGCAGAAGGTTTAACATGGAATTGCCATATGACACAGCCATGCCACTTTCAGGTGTGAGCCCAGAAGAACTGAAAACATGGTTCTCACACAAATAAACTCGCCACCTACGTCCACAATAGTATTATTCACAGTAGCCCAAAGATGTAAACAACCCAAATACCCCATCAATGGAAAAACTGATACACAAAATATGCTCTATATATACAATGGAATATTATTCGACCATAAAAAGGAACGAAGGACTGACACAAGCTACAACTTGAATGAAGCCTGAAAACATTACACTAAGTGAAAAAACAAGCAGACACAAAAGGTCACACATCCTATACGTCTTCATTTGTACAGAATGTCTGGAATTGGCAAGTCTACAGAGACAGAGAGCAGGTGAGCGGCCACCTGGGGCTGGGGTGGGAAAACAGCAAGCAGCTGCTCAATGGCACCCAGTAAAATCACTCTAAAGAGCCACAACTGTCCTATTTCCCCACCCCTAGAGTTGATTAAGTCCCCCCATCCTTTCCCCCAGGAGACCCCTACTTTTTAAACCATATCCTCTTCGACTGTGCAATAGTTTGACTGATGTCTGTCTGTCTCTCCAGATATACTGCAGGATATTTAAAGGCCAAGGACGTGTGGGATTTGCTGTGCTGTGCTTTCCCATGTCTGACACAGAGGCAGGAGATTCTGTGACAGTCCTGACCCCATCTGTGCTGCCCACCTCTCCATCCCTAGCCCCGAACCCAGCACCAGGTGTGAGGTAGGTTCTCAGGAAATAGCCACGGCCTAATGAACAGTCACCTGATTAAAAACACACACTGCTCCCGTATTCATGGGAAGTGAACTGCCTTTCCCTGAGCATGGATGACAGCTAAGTAGATAGATAAGATAACCAGCCAGAGGACAGACAGATAAACAAACAGTTACGCAAACAGATATATTTTAGCTCTATGGCCCACCCTTGTTTCCAGAATAGAAAGAGCATCCTTTGGGCTGGAATTTCCTGTCCCTCTCAGTCTCGGGGAGCCCCTGGCTTCCAGGCCCCTCCCACATGGATCTCACTATTTCCTGCCCTTGGGGTCCTCACACTGGCCCCTTACTACCCTGTTAACAACCATATATTTTTTCTCCCTTCCCCCTGCTGTGAAAGCCCCTCACACCTCCATCCCTCTGACCTCCTACTATTCTTATAAAGTTGTTTTCATGCGTTTATGAGCCAGGCACTGAAACTGCTTTTTATTTCTCTGGTGCTGAGGACTGAACCCAAGGCCTTTCCACTGATCTATGTACTCAGCCTTTTTTATTTGGAGATAGGGTCTCACTAAATTTCCAGGTGGGACTCAAACTTGAAATCCTCCCACCTTAGCCTCCCGAGTGCCAGGATTACAGGTGTGCACCACCTTCTCGATCCCAAACAACTGACACTTGGGACTGGACAATCCTTTCCTGGGGGGATCTCCTGGACACTGCAGGATGTCTGGCAGCATTCCTGCTCCAGACTGTCAGTTCTGACAATCAAGTGTAACTCCAGACATCGTCAAATACTCAGATTCCCCTCGGGCAAGAACTGCTGGCCTTCTGGAACACAAATTCTAGCGGTCCAGCCTGAGAGAGCTGACGTCTAGGCAGGGATTGGCAGTTAACGACCCATGGACCAGATCCTCCAGTCTGCACTTTTCATGACGTAATGAAAAATCACACCAAATTCAATCTGTCTGTAATGAAGGGGGATTGGTGCGGAGCCAGGTGAGGTTCATTATGAATCGTCCATACTGCTCTCCTGCTAGAGAAGCAGAGCCCAGCCACTGCCACAGAGACTTCGTGGCCTGTGGAGCCTGAAACATTTATGCCTGGCCCTTCATGATAGTCTGGACCTCCTGACATCCTACTACTGCAGCTGTCTGGGAGAACAGCTGCAAGAGAGGTCAGGGGCTCTGGGGCAGGGGAGGGAGCAGGGCATGACAGGAGCTGTAGGTGAGAGAGGAGAGGAGAGAAGCACCCAAGGCAGCTGGAGGGCAGCGCAGGGATGGGCTGTGTTCAGTCTCCACTTCAGGTGCCCAGCCAGTGACTTGTCCCCCGCCTGCATGGGGCTCTTCCAGCATGTGACCCAGCCTCCAGTCTCCCTCCCACCAGCACATCCTCCTGGAGAACAGGGAGCCCCCATCAAGAGAAGGGCTTGAGCCTTTCCTTAAACAACACAACGGGGTAAATAAAGTACTTACCTTTTAACCAGTGGTTCCCAACTGGGGGCAATTTTCCACCACCCTCCCCAAGGACAGTGGGAAACAGCTAGGGCCATTTTAAATTTTTTTAGTTGTCAAAACTGTGAGAGGAAGATGCTATTGACCTCTTGTTCTTAGAGGTCAGGAATTTGGGAAACATCCCTCAATGCACAGACAGCACCCCAAAACGGTGAAGTACCTGGCCCCGAAAGTCCAAGAGCTTAGAACAGCCCAGCTGCACCAAGTGCTCGCTATCAGCCATCAGTGTCACTGCTCTGGGCCACATTCCAGGAGTTTGTGGAGAACCAGACAGACATGGTCCCTGCCCTCCTGTGTCTTCCAACTTCCTTCACCAATTAGGCCAGAAGCCCCTGAGTAGAAGAAAAAAATGTCTCCCTCTGGGTTTGGCAAATTTTGGGCCCAGAGCAGTGCTATTTTACAAGAATTCAAAATGTGCAAATCTTAATTAAGATTAAGGGGGGCTACATTCATAAAGCCTGACTTTATTTGCAAAATTTTTTGAACCTACAAGTACTCTTCCCCAAGTTAAAAATAAAAATCGCCAAGGTTTCCTATAATCCCGGCACTCGAGAGTCTGAGGCAGGAGGAGGATCGCTGCAAGTTCAAGGCCAGCCTGGGCTACACAGTGAGTCCAAGAGCAGACTGAACTGCATAGCAAGACCCTGCCTCAAAAAACAAAAAAAAATCACCGAGGTTCATATGCTTTCAAAGCTACAAAGTAGAGGACATCCCCCAAAGTACTTATGCCACTGTCTCTGGGTGGCTCTAACGAGGGTTAAGCAGATATACCTACCTCTGACGTCACCGTATCAGGTCAAGAAGGAAAACTAGGTTTTGAATTCTGTAGGAATAGAGGAGATGGCAAGCTACCATCAAAAGCCACTTCTCCCCTTCTTAAGCACTAGTGAGGACATTTCCTAGCCCCCCTGGCAGTCAGATATGACTACATTACTAACCACTCTCTGGTAGAAATATAAGTAGAAGTGATATGTGCAACTTCCAGACCTGGTTCATAATCTCTCCCGAGATTCCCTGATTCACATGTACATGCTCCACTGAATCTAGACTGGCTTTGAGATCACAGAATGCAGCAGAAGTGATGCTCTCCCTCCAGCCTCAGGAGGCTTACACGCTTCTGTTTCTCTTTTGGACTCCAGCTGCCACCAAGTGAACAAGCCTGTGCTGACCTGGCAGAGGCTGGGACTGTGTGATTACCCTAGCTGGAGCCTTCCCCACAGGCCTGAAGCCTGCCGACCCCCAGCATGGATCAATCCCAGCATGGATCATGGAGCCACCTGCCCAACACCAGTAACCGCAGATACACATAGAGGCCAACTGAAACTGGAAATGCTCAGCTGACTTGTAGCCTTGTGAAATGGTTGTTTAAACTGTGGGGTGATTTGTTACACAGTGTAGCTAACTGATGCATGCTTCCATATCAATCCCTTTCCACTAGCTGGATCCAGAACATAAAGTTTTGAGAGAGGAGGGTACAGGGTCACAAGACAGAGGAGCCTGCCTCCCTGAATGGCTACAAAGTCCCCACAGACCTGACCCTCCAACTTTATGCCACCAGATATAAATTTATAACTTGTTGAGCTATTACATGTGTGGGTATCTGTCACAGTGGCTTAGTGTACCCTGAAGAATAAAGCTCCAATTGGGTGCACTCTTGAGGAAACGCATTCCATGCAGGGAATCCACCCCTGCCCATAACACGCCACCTAACAAACCTTAGTCTCCGCTTCTCAGAAATGTTCAGCGCATACTTCCGAATGGATTGGCTGTTGAAGTTTTCAGTGATTTCTCCCTCCAGATGGGAGCTGGAAGAGTCTGCCGGGTTCAGCAATGTGCCACTTTGCTTGTCTCGGGAAAGGAGGGTCGTTCTCCTTCGAGCGATGGACCGATAGCTTGGCAGTTCTTGGAGGAAGTTCACAGTGGGAGAGGAGAAGCAGCTGGAGTCCAGAGAGAGGTTCTCTGGGCAAGAGAAGAAAAGCATCCTTCAGTCCAGAGAGTTTGGGAGCCAAAAGGAATGCCTGTACAGGAAACCCGGATCTGGAGACCGTAACTAAACCCTGCAGAGTCTCTAGCCTGGGCCATTGATGAAAGCATTTGGATCTTATTTTATTTCCCACGATGGTGCTCAGGACCATGAAATCAACTCCAAATGGGCCTACCTTCTGCAGATGGGTCTGCAAACATGCTCTGAGTTGCAGGACAGATCTGAGTTCAAGTGTTTGGCCACAGTCATAGCTCAATGTGTAGCCCATTTGCCAAATGGGCTAGAAATATTTGCTGCAACTGTCCTCACACAGTGCAGGTATGATAACACATAGACAAAACCCAAATACACAATGCACTATGCAAACGCATGTCAATAACAACTTCAACAACAGGAGCACTGATGCACATTTCCCACGAGCCAGCCACATTAGGAGTCACACGAACTCCTGGGACTCTGCTTAGACAAACAGAACGCAGTGGGAGAGATGCTGTGCGCTCTGCCTGGAACAAACCTGTTCTACATTCCCACTCCTACTCAAATGTCACTTCCCCAGGGAAGGCGCCTCATCAGACACTCCCAGGAAGTCCTTGACAGCATTAACCACAGTCTGCAGGTACCTATGTATTCTGTGATCACACGTGTGGGTAATGGCTGCCTCCCGTCAGACTGGTGTTCCCAGCGGGCAGGGACCGTGCTGATGCCCTCACCATCGTGGCCCAGGACCTACCACTGCCCTTGGCACAGAGCAAGTACTGAGACAGACAAGCCCAGGCCCAGGAGGTCAGAGAGAGCCATAATTACCTAAGAAGTTACCCCCATGGGCAGCAAAGCTCCTCTGACTTTATGTCAGGTGCGGAACCGCTTGGGTCTGAATCCTGCTCTGTCGATTATGAGCTGTGTGTCTTTGGGGAAGTTACTTAAGTTTCCTCGAATCAAATATTAATTCAACAAATGCATCTACCATGTGTCCTATCTGGGGCCTGGGTTACTACGGTGAACAAAGCAAAGACCCCACTCATGGGACACTTAGAGTCTGAGAGGGGAGAGAGGGAGGTCAGACAATAAGCAGGCAGTAAATATGCCCAGAAGTGAGAAGCGCCATGAAAACAACCAGATGGGGTAGGGAGAGAGAGGCGATGGGGGAGAGGTCAGGTACTGTCTATGACAGTGACATTCAGCTAAAGTTGAAGGAAAGGAAGATGCAAGACCCATGGATGTTTGGAGAACATCCTCCCCGTGCAGAGGGAGACAAGTGCAAAGTCCCGGGGCGGGCATGTCCGTGGCATGTCCGTGGCATGTCCGTGGGCGGGCACGCAGGCGTGTGATGCAGGAGAGTGAATGGACAAGAGCCCTGGAAGACTACCAAGACCCTCAAAGACTCACAGCAACACTTCTCTGGACTCCCGCCCTCAAATCTGAGCAGGACCCATGACTTGCTTTAACCGGAGAGTGTAACGGAAGTGGTGCTCAGCCAGGTCTAGCACCAGTCCAGCCCTTCTGTGCTGTGCTGCCGGGTGAGAGGTCCAGCTGTGCTGGGCCCACATAGAGAGGAAGAGGCCTGAAGCCACAAGAGACAAACTCGGGGCCAGGCTTCTGACCCAGCCCGGGGAAGGAGCCACCTGGGAGGCTGCAGCCGGGGCAGCCTGCGTCACATGCAGCGGTGCGGGCCATCTCCTCTGCACCCTGCTGAATTTCTGGAGCACAGAATCAGCAGAAATCACACACAGTTTAAGCTACCACGTGCGGAGAAGTTCATTCAGTGACAAGAGGTCTCTGGGACAGGACAGTGGAAAAGCAGAGCTCGAGCAGTGATTGGGCCTGCAGGCTAGAGAGACCCTCAGGTTCGACTGAGCGGAGCTGGAAGCCGGAGAATGTCATAGTCTGACCATGTCTGTTGCTTGTTTGTGGTGCTGAGGACCAAACCCAAGGCCTTTACACTGAGCTACAGCTCCAGTCTTTTTATTTCTTATTTTGAGACAGGGCCTCGCTAGGTGACTAAACTGCCCCGGCTGGGCTCCAACTTTCCGTCCTCTGGCCCCAGCTGGAGGATTACAGTGCTGGGATTACAGACATGCACCACCGTGCCCACGTGACCATCATTTAAACTGAGATGCTAAGGACAGGCCTGGGCACACCAGCTGTTTACAGAAGAAACGGTGATCACAAGGGTAGGTCTCAGGGCAGTGCCTGGCACACAGCTGGCTCCTCATGTGCTGTAGCAGGATGAGGAAGGGCTCGGAGGACTGGCGGCACCAGTCAAGGGCCGGCGATGACGCTCAAGTCTGTGCTCTCCGCCTCTCTGCGGGGCACGTTCAGACACAGCAGAAGGGGCTGCGGGTGAATGACACACAGACTCAGGCGCCCTGACCAGCCTCTCACTTCCGGCCCAGCACACCCTGAGGATGTGACACACGCCCACCCTGAGGGCACCCAAGGGCTGCCAGGAGCCATTCCTCTCTCTGGGCAGAAACAAGGACCGATTATTAACCAGGAACAAAGGTCTCTGAACACAGAACGGCAGCGACCTACTGAATATTCAGCAACTGCAGGGTCCGGGACCCAGGGCGGAGTCGAAGCCTGGCTTGTCACCCACAGGCAGTCACCCCGGGAGAGACACCCGCTGTCCTGGAGTTGCATTTTCCCCATTTCAGGAAGTGGGGATAGAACACTATGGACCTCATCAGAGTTACAAATGGCCACTGGCGGAGGGCCAGGCCCTTCCGAGTACTTGCTAAAGCATCATCACTCCGAATAATCCCAGCTACTCCTGGGACAGAATTATCCCTATTTTACAGATGAAGAAACTGAGGTAGTCATCCACTCACACAACTAAGAAGCACTGGTCCTAGAGTGTTAACAAAAAGACCCCCAAACTGTAGCATTCACCCATGAAATGGTTCAATGGGCCATGGATGTGAAGGTGCCTCATAAATGCTGAAATGCTGTCCAAACAAACTAGGTAATAACCTGGTCTTCCACCCTCCCACCCCAGTAAGCAGGCTCTGCTGCCATCACAAAAAGGGAATCCGCCACAGAAAACTGTTTTCAAATGGTTGTCATCCAAAACAAATGAGTGTGCCTTTTTAGTCACTCTGGGCAAGTTCCTTATCTTTAAATAAAAAATACCTGACCAGCCAGGTGGAGTAGCGCACACCTGTAATCCCAGCACTTGGGAGGCTGAGGCAGGAGGATCAAAGAGAGTTTGAGGCCAACCTGAGCTGCACAGCAAGACCCTGTCTCAAAAACAACAACAAAATCTGACCAGCACACACACCTATACTCTGGAAGCCCGAAGCAGAAGGATCACAAGTTTAAACCCAGCCTGGGCAACTTAGAGACTCAATGAGACTTTGTCTTAACATTTTTAAGAAAGGCTGGAGGAGCCAGGGATTTAGCTCAGTGCCACAGCACCTGCCTGGCAAGCTCCAGGTCCTGAGTTTAATCACTGGTACCAAAACAAAAAACAAAACAAAACAAAGAATAACAAAAAAAGGCCGGAGATTTAGCTCAGTGGCACCTCACCTGCCTCGAAAGAGCAAGGTCCTGAGTTCAATCCCCAGTACAGCAAATAAATAAATAAATTAAATTAAATTTTAAAAGACTGTTTTTGCCACCTGCTGCACAAGCACAAGGACCAGAGTTCGATCCCCAGTACCAATAAATAAATAAATAAATAAATAAATAGGCTGAGAATGTTGCTCAGTATGAAGGCCCTGGGTTCAATCCCCAGTACAGAAAAAGAGAACGAAATAAAAATCTGAGCATTCCTTAATAAAGGCATCATTGTTTTTATAATTAGCATCTATCTGCTCTCATTTGCATACTGGAGCAGAGACCACATGCTTTTTAAAGTATGACACCACCTGGTTTCTCACGCCCACCTGCACAGGTAGGCCCAGGAGGCTGCACTGCCCTGGCTTCCAACAGGGAAACTGAAGCCCAGAGACGCCATGACATGTTCACTCCTTTGATGTCAAGACAAGACCCCATTACTGCTTCCTAGAGAGGCAGGCCGCCTTGCCTGGCTGGGCCTCGGCTCACTCAGTTTTAAAAGAGAACAGGAACAACTCCTACCAGGTCTGTCAGATGTCCCACTGAGCTGGCCCAGCCAGCCACGGGTGTGCATGGCCAGTGTACCGGCCATTTGATCACCTTTACACACAGGGTTGGGGGAGCAATTTCAGATATCAGGCGCCTCCATCCAGGAATGCCTAGAACTGCATGGCCACTGAAGCTGAATTTCAGCAATTACGAGGCTGTCATTGAGGTGGAAGGATGACTGGGTCATTACAGGAGTCAGGGACACGGCCAAGCATAACTGCTTCTGCTCACATCTAGTACTGCTGCAGGTGAGAGACAAAGGGTGTTTCTCTGAGGCTCAGAACAGTGTCATTCCTAGAAAACCCTCACCAGAAAGAAGGAAGGAAAGGAAGGAAGGGAGGGAGGGAAGGGGCACCTTAAAGCATCCTTGGCTCCTGATGTTCCTGGCAGCTCTTTCCACAGGGCATCAAATCCTACCAAAGTTCACGATCTCTCCCAGGATGTGGGCCAAGTATGATCTAAATGGCACTAACGCCACCACCAGCTCTCTAGTACACTCCCAAGAGGCCAGCCCAACCGTATTTGGCCCTGAGTTCACCACAGGGTTTTGCTTCCCACTCACGGGGTCATGGAAACTCTGAGTAAGAAGGGACCTTGTGTGTCACGGGAGCCAGGCCTCCACCTCTGCTGTGAGAATCCTCAAGGGCTCCTCTCATCCTGGGGGGCGGGGGGGGGGGTTACACTCCAGGGCCCCCATGGATGCTGGATGCCAAGGACAGTACTGAACTCTACAGATGCTTTTCCACATCCACACATCGCCCTGTAGCATATATACAGACGCAGATCGGATGTCTCTTCTACCTGAAGCAAGCACTTAGCCTGCATCATGGCTGTAGCTTTGCATGCTGAGGTGTAACAGCAAAACCACCAT